TGCAGCTACAGCCATGTGACTCCCTGATGCTTCGGCAGGGGCTGGGATATCAAAACTGTGCAATATTGTCTGCATAATCCAGGCATGTAGGGTTAAAAAGAAAGTGTGATTTGTTCATTTTTTGGCTGGCAGGGTAGGTGGGCTGACATCATAGGCTGCATCGGGTCCACTGTCAACTCATTGATTGTTTCGTCTGCTCATTCTATACACATGCCCATTGGTAAACTGATCATGCTGTAGGCACAGTCTAATCTTACCCAGTGGATAATACCACACGTTAATTATGCACCTAATGTCACACTTCCTGTCTGGGACTCATTGAAGTTCATCTGTTCTGTGTTACTTTACAAGCAGTTTGCTTTAGTTGCAACATGAACAGATGTAACAGAGTGGATTTGACATGCCCTGAATTGATTCCTAGGTGGAATATGAGACAATGGATTCACCAGCAAGTTGCCTCACAATAGTCAGAGATTGGTAATATTTGAATTTCAAATTTCATATACAACACTCTGTGCACTCAGAGCTCGTATATTTGCAAGATAGACTGTAGAGACATAGATGGTTACTTTTACTACCTCTGGGGCTGCACACATCCTTGCCATGACCCACTGCCTGCACCTCTGCTGGTACCCCCATTGGCACCCCCGCCGGCACCCCTGTTGGCACCCCCGCCGGCACCCCTGCTGGCACCCCCGCCAGTCTAGCACCCCCCGCTGCACCGGTGCCTTGTCCCCGTGATTTTCTTATATGTAAGATTATGTAAACTGACAGCTCGGAACACGTCAAGTCACTAGCCAATCAGAACCTGTATAAACGTCGTACCTAAGTGTTTACTGCTCTTCTAACACTGTTCCTACAGTTATGCAGCTGAAAACCATCGGAATAAGGTCTCCTTCTGCTATTCTTATTGAATATGTAGATACTTCATATCATTTGTCCACCTAAAATTCGAAACATGAAAAGAGTTCACCATTGCTCAAGGTTCCTATGTAGACAATGGTTCAACATGGTTCACTTTGGGTATGGCAAAAAATATTTTTTCTACACACAAGCAATTCAATACAGCTGAATGATATACTCTTTGGCAGTGTCTGAAACAAATTCTGAGAGCCCTGGACCCTGGAACTATTCAAAAACTTGAAATGAGTCCGAAAAATAGGGTCTTGATAAACATGAGATATGGGCTGGTTTGAAGAGACATGGGCCACCGGTCATGTTGAATATAGTATTTTACAATGTTTCGGTGCCCTACCTCTCATCACATGGCCTCATTTCCCACTAAAAAGGGTGCATACACACTCAAGCTCATAAAATCAATTGTCACCCAGAAACAAGAGCAGTGAAGTTGTTTCACTGGGATTGGGTAAAGGTTACCTAGAAGTCACTTGGGTTGCAGTACAGAAGCTTTGGAAAGTGATTTTGTAGTTGATCCACATTTGGTAGGCTGGCAGATGCTTGTGCACCCCCATGGCACCCCCCGTGGCACCCCCCGCAGCACCCCCTGTGGTTGACCCCCCCCCCCCCAACCCCTGCAAGGATTTAATTGACAAATGTCCTGCTCAATCCATTGTAAGAGTCTACAGTATTATTGGATTCAGTAAAGGGCCCAAATGGTGTGTAGACAAGAAGTATGAAATCCGGAAATCAACAATTATGACACCTCCACGGAATATGCTGCAAATGGAGAGAAAAATTTGAGTGCAGACAGACTACCTGAAGCAAACAGACAGAGAAAAGAAACATTAGCCATTTCTTGTTGATGATGTTGGCTGTCCCTGGAGCATGTACTTGGGAGATTTGCCTAACAAATCAAGTTGCACATTTTCAAATTTTTAGTTTGACCTGACAGCTTGAGCAGACCATGCTAAAATGAACCAAGTCATATATATCAGTGCCCCAAGCCAAGCCAAAAGATTTAGGTAAATTTGCACAGTTTTGATATCCCAGCCCCTGCCGAAGCATCAGGGAGTCACATGGCTGTAGCTGCAGACCAACCCCAGACACAGCCTCCAAACTCCTGGCAAAATGAAGGATAATTATGCTGCATGCTATGACCACAGCGAGAATAGATAGATCAAAATATGATGCAATGCACCCCTACCCCTGCTCCTGTGGTTGACCCCACAGCGGGCCCTGCGGCACCCCCTGCGTCACCCCTTGTGGCACCCCCTGCGGCACCCCCCGTGGCACCCCCCGCAGCAGACCCCGCCAAATGATGGGATCAAGTGCATCACCAGTCCCATTGTGCAGGGTGCATTTTGGGCTTTCTAAGCTCAAATTCATGCTTAACTAGTGTATTTACTGATAGAAATGATACCAGGATGATTTGGGGAAGGCTTCCATTTTTTTGGGCGGGAAATCACGTGATTATGCGCCCATTGTCTGCCACAGCATGCAATGGATCAAGCAACACCTCCGAAATCATGCTGAATGGTGCACAAAAGGTGCCCCAAAAGTCACGTGATAATGCGCCCACTGCCCGCCATGGTGTGCGGGGGGCCAGTAGCACCCCCGCCAACCCCCGCCAACCCCTGCTAGCCATTTTTGATAATTTTCATGCGGTGCATCACGTGATTTTTTTTACCCCGCCATCAGCCGCCATCCCGCCCATTGGATGTGTCATGTGATTCATTTTTTTTTTCGCGCCCACCTGCCCGCTCCCAATGATAAATCACATGACATGTACAGACCCCCCCCTGCTGACCCCCGCATATGCCCCCGCCCCCAAATGGACCAAATCCCCCCCCGCGGGCCCCGCAGGGGGGTACCTGTTAGGTACCCTCAGAGCTACGTCTGAGGGTACCCAGGAGGACCCCCGCGGGGGTGCAACCGGGTGATGGCGGTGGTAACTGAGGTGAGAATGCTCATCGATTGCAAAACGACAAACAAGGCAAAATACGGAGCCAAAGCAATCAAGTCCTCACTAGTCAGGAAAACATGGACAAAGATAATCAAAGATGAGGAACATCTCCCCGACGATTGGACAAGGGGAAGCGGGGTTTTAGTGGGTATCGGCTAAACACACAACAGAGTCGGAATGGCCGACTCAATACAGCGAAGAACGTACAAGACCGAATCCCCACACAAGGCGCCTCGGATCACGAGGCGCATCGTGCGGGTAACAACCGGTTACCAAACACATTTCCTCGCGTGGCAAGAAGTATATCCTCATCGTCTGGCTAGGTTACAACCCTCGGCCTCAAATTCAACGGGTCCTAAGTAGATAACTATGTTAAGTACTTATGACTAATCAATAAACGTCCCACGAAAAAAAAAGCATGGGCTTGTTCACTGCAATGCTCGAGCACATTGAAGAACGGAACGGTCTCTTGAATCAGCGGAGCAGCCAGCAAACAGGTTGGAATCGAGGGTGTTGATGATGCTGTCGATAAGCGCAGGAGAAACGTCTCGCGTTTGATCGAACAACTAACTCGGTGCCGAGCTGTATCAGAAACTTGGAACATACGAGAAACAGTAGTTACATCCCCGTTCAATCTCCCTCAGCCTCGCCGTTAATGAGGATAAACATCAGGCTAGAAGAGGACGCGAAACTCGGCTCAGCAGATCCCAGTGTTCCGATAAAGAGAGATGCGGCCATGGTCGACCAAGGGCTTATCCTTATCCACAACACGGTCGATATCGGGGAAGAATCTCAGTTGTAAGAGATAGGGCTGAGATCCCCCTCCAATGAAAAAGGGTGACATGCGCATGGGCTGTGTCATCGGACAATCGGATGTCGGATTACCAGACGTTCTCCGTCGTCTCCGCGTGTGGCGTGTGCGGAAAGGGGACGCCGATCGCCGTAAGCTCTAGACCTTCTGAGCTCTGGACCATTTCAAAGACCGTCGCATGTAACTGAACCTCACCCGGGACGAACCCTTTCGCTCGCAGGGCCAGCTGCAGCTTACCCGACAAGCCATCAATCACAAGCATTTACTGCGATCAGCTATCCATCTGTCCGAATGACAGATCCTGCTTTGCAGAGCTCAGAGCGGATGGATTCCTTCGACGGGTGTGGCGGACATAGGATTTGGAAGGCCGTTTTCGCAGGCCGGAGGAAGCGAAATCGACGACATCTCCCGGCCCAGCGAACACCGGTGATTGCGGTAACTAACTCTACCTTATCACACGCTGCTGCTGCACCACCTGAGCGATCCACGCAGTGCATGTGATTCTTAGGCACGGCATGGGCCTATTTCAGATATTTCAGCGAGGCTGGCCTAATTTCCAAAAACCCCTGTGCGGAGCGGAGCTAGGCTACGCAGTGCGACGCCTCCTCAGGAGGTGAGAAGCTGTGACAGACTCACGATGTGACAGACCGGTGCCGGTAATGTCCGTGACAGGGAGAATGAGACTCGGAAGAACGAAGATCAGAAAAACAGAAGCCGGAGATCTGGACCGCCGCGTCATTTGGTTACAGTCGCTGGTAACCACCCCACGCCCGACAGGGCCAATGTCCGCAGATACAGTCGTTGGGGGGACGATTTCCAGGGAGAATATCGGCTGGAGACGAGACTGGTCATGGAGGCCTGCAAGGAGCGTGGACCCACAGTGTCTAGGCTGACATCTGAGGCACTGAACGTAAACTTGTAAATGAACGGGCCTGAAGATCGGAGGCTGTAAAGCTGTCAATCCCGGGCCGCTTCTCCGCCACGTGGCCTTCCTCCGATTTTCTTCCGCCGCCGTTCCAATATGATCGGACGCCTGCGAATGACTTCGCGAGGGCGAGGGGCCAGGTACGACATGGCCAGGCCGATCGTCCTCGTCATCTCGTCCCTCGAGATTTGCATTGTAAGAAAGCCAAAAAAAATAAACAGCTCGCTGATGTGTCACCAGGACCCAATGGCGGTTGCTGTGATCTATATCACGACGGAGATCGTTCAATTTTGATCACGCACGCCATGCGATCTCACACACGGGCTCGCATCACATAACCCCCACTCTCGCGTGTCGCGGACGCAGTTGCCTTTCGCTCTCACCGCCTCTTGCCTCGAGGCATGGCCATCCCGGCGCCTTCATTCAGTATGTTTCCTGCGCCGCCCTTTGGACTACAGCGTCCGGGCGCCGGTGCCGTAACGCCCTACGACGACCAAGACCACCACCATCAAACGATCTCTGCATTGTATGGAAACATCGGAGGCAATATCCCATGTAAGTACAGTTTCCGCTCCCTTCCCTTCCACACAACCGTGGCTGCTTGCCCGGAGGCTGTTGGGCTCTTTCTCGGGCGTGAGCTCACAGGAAAACTTCCGACCTCGTTGCACAGATTTCGCCGGCACCGGCTCGGGCTACTCGCCGCCGCAGCACCAGGATCAGCATCGACTTCATCTGCACTCCCACTCCCACTCCCATCCGTATTCACCGCTCCACGAGCAGCAGCAGCAGCAGGACCACTCATACGGACTTCACGCTGGGTCGATATCGCCCCACGAACAGCCTCTGCCCGAGGTCAGCTACATCCCCCTCTTCGACAAGCCGGGTCGATCCGCCACCATGGACAGCAGCGAGCCGTCCGAGCGGGACGGCGTGGCGGAGGACGTCTCGAGTGTAGATGCGATGGCGGTCGACGGGGCCGGCGCGCCCCCGGACACAGCGAAGCCCAAGGCCAAGCGCCAAGCGAAGGGCAAGGGCAAGACGAAGGCGGTCGAGAAGGAGGCGAAGGAGGCTGAGATGGACGAGCTGGGCGACGACTCCACCGGCACCGCGGACGAAAGTGCGTCCCCATCGGGGAAGAAGGGGAAGACGACGGCGACGGGCAAGCCATCGCGGCGGACAACGACCTCTGCGGTCATCGCGTGCCAGCAATGGTGAGTCTCCCTCGTCCATGGGCTTCTTCGGGTGTGCCTGATTAACTGATCGTCGCCTGGGCAGTCGATTGCGGAAGATCCGATGCGACTCTGGGCGCCCACATTGTTCGAACTGTGGACGACGCTCGGACAAATGCATCTATGATTCTGCGCCCAAACGCCGTGGCCCCGACAAGAATCCGGGCACACGCCAGCGCCGATGCAAGAAACGCCCGGGCGATGAGAGTGACGATCCCCCGGCGAAGAAGAAGCTCAAGATCGATGTGTCGGCTGCGAGCCCAACGAGCACGGGACCGATCTCTGCCTCATCCACACCCGCTATCACCCTTCCCTCTCCGGTCCCGGTGCCGATCGTTCCATCAGCAGCAGCAGCAGCAGGCCCTGTCCCAGCAGGATCATCCCCGGACAAGTCACACGGATTGGAAGCGGGTGCCGATGTCAAGAAGAGGAAGAGATCCACGCTCAGCTTGGAGACAGAAAAGCGAAAGTCTCCCGGTCGTGTTATTAGTACTGGGCCACCAGAGCGGTTGTACACACCCATCTCTGCCCCGTCTCTGCCAACGTACATCCGCCCCAGCCACGCTGCCCCGCCTCTGCACATCTCCACCGACGAGGCCCTCATCCGGGTGAGTGTGATTCGCGTGATCGTGCTCGTCAATGACGTACTGATTCCTAGCCTTGTTCGTTTCAGCGCGCGTCGCAGCAGCCACACTCGGCACCGCCGCACCCGTCCGACCGGTACATCCCGACGCCATCATCTGCCAATCCCGTCTACGGCTACGCGCAGCAGCATCATCTCCCGTACTCCTTCCCGCGCCCGTCGCCGTTCGAGCTGGGCGCGCTGGGGGGCGAGCACTACCATCCCAAGTTCCCACCGGTCTCGGCCGCCGCGCTGGCGTCCCAAGAGGGCTGGTGGGACTCCTTTCTTCGGACATACACGTAAGCCCAATATTTCGCCGGCATTTCTCCCCGCCCGCGTTGACACGTAACTCAGGCTTCGAGATATCGCGCGAGATTTGGGAGACCTGTACGTGTGTTCTTTTTTCTTTCGCTCCCTCTTTCTGTGTGTCGCGCGGTTACCCGACGGCTGACATGATTTGTACCCCCCAGTTACACCGAGAGCCACATCGCGCTGTCGTTCGTCAACCTTCGGGAGCTGATTGAGCGACTCTGGAACCGCCACTTGACATTCCAGCCGGCATTCGTGCTCGCCTCGCTCGCACTGGCGTGGCTCATCCGGTCCAGCGAGTCCGACCGAGGTGCCGCCGGCAGAGAACGCGCTGCTTATTTCCGCCGGCTCGCACAGGAGAAGCTCGAGCAGGCGTGGCGCGAGCGCATCTGGTTGGACGCGAGTCTCGCGATGGCTGCCTTGGTGCGCGAGTTTCCGTGGCCCTTCTTCGCCCGATCTCATCCCGTGCTGTAGATCCTCGCCCAATACGAAGCCTCTGCTCATCCAGAATACAATCCCATCCGCGTCGTGCGGGCGCTTACGTTCCTCGATGAGATCATCACCGGCCTCGGGCTGTCCACTTTCGACAGCGCGCGACCGGAGGTGTGTCGCTACCCGGCGCATGCGACGCCGACGGTGCATGTCGAGGGCATGGAGGCCCCGCAGTGCAGTTGCATTCCCCTCGGCTCACCGCCGCCGGATCTCGACACCGTGGGGCAGAGTGCGCTGCAGTGGGAGCCGTCCTGGACGCAATCGGAGATCCAGGACGAGGAGTGCCGCCGAGTCGTGTGGGCTGCTTTGACCCTGACCACGAGTTTCCGAATGGAATGCCTGGCCTTGACGAGACACGACGAGGGCCTCATGCTCAGTCTCTGCGATCCATCAAATGTGCGCGCATCCATTTCCGCACGTGGGACTCTGACTAATAGGGGCTGTGCTAGTACCAAGTCCTGTTCCCGAACGAGATATACGATCGAAATCGCGGGACGGGAACGCATCCCCGAAACGCCATTTGGGCACTGTACTGTCGCAGTATGTTGCTGTGCAACTTCACGTCCAATGTCGTCGCCAAGGACGCCGAAACACGTGACCAGCGCGAGCTGCAAGCGGAGGCGCTTCAAGAATCGTGGAGTGAGGCGCAGGCCATCGAAGACTCCCTGGACGCGCATGTGTGCAACTTGAATACGGCCGTGTCGTATTTATGTCGGGAAAACATCGCCAAGTCCGTGCAACATCTCGTCTGTCCCCGCTGTCTCGTACTGACTTCCTCGCCTTCTTTCTTGCTAGTTCCCGGTTGTGTATTCAGAAGGGGCTACGCGGCTTGCAGGGACTGGCTTCTCCCCGCGCCAGCCCACTGATGAACCGCCGGCAAGCCGAAGAGTGGAGTACGTATTCGACAGCCTTCGCGATGTCTCTGGCCGCTGATCTCCCGCCAGTTTACTATCAACTTGAGCTGATCAAACGAGTAACGCTGTCGATTCAGTTTGACCAGCGTGGGACAACGCCGACTAACCGCCCTTTCGCGCTGACTTGGTTCTACCATCAGCTTTCCATGTTCGTCCGTTTTGCCGTTGACACGAGAGGGGATCTGACAGGTTTCCAGATGCCTGCTTCTGTGGGAACACGATAACGGGCTGATCACGGCGCTGAACCTCGCGAAGGCCTTCCTCGTGCCGCTGGACGTCATGAACGCGCTGTGGCCGTGCGAATGTGTGTCCTGCGTTCCTCCCCCGCCGCTGCTGATGATGGGCTGTGCTGACACACGGCCAGATATCCACTCCCAGTGCTCTGCGCTGCGCAAACAGCTCACGCTGTATTGCATGCAGGCCAATTTAGAACCACCCCCAGCCGAGCTGGGATCCTCCACCGCCGTCTAGAAGGCGAGGCGCTCCCTGTATCTGCTGCGTTGTATCCTTCCATCCATACCCTCTCTCTCATCTCATCATCCCCCATCCCACTCCTTTCGTCTCTGATCTCCCTCTTCGACGGTACGTTACCCCCATCCCGTAATCACCTTTTTGCGAGCTACACCTCGGCGTGTATCGAGTACCTATTCGTCCTTGTATCTTATCATATATATGTAGCATAGTATACCAAACGCGTATGTGCAAAAATAATATCCCAATGTTTCTTCGTACAAGTGCCCCGCTCGATCTTATCACCGGCCTCCATCTAAGTCTGAGATCAGAGCTAACCCGAAACGAGCGAGACAGATCTGTGTGGTCATCTTTACCTCGACTCGGTCCAGAGCGACAATCTAATCTTATCAGTTGCCTCGAACATTCCTTCGAAACACTGATCAAGCCCGCTCATTCCGCTTCTGGCACCTGCTCTTCACACTTCAAGTTCCCGTAGCTTCTCTCTCTCCTCGCCTCCGCAACTGCGCGTAATCTTCGCTTGTGTCATCACGGGAGTCGCAGCTGAAACCGTTCAACAAGTGACAGCTATGTAATGTAGGGCGTTTGGACGTTCATTCTGATTTTTTGCCAGTTTTCTATGCGTCACTGACGTGCGGTTTCCGTCGTCTTCAGCTTCACATTACATTCCTCGACGCTCTGGGAGGCTCGGAAAAGTCTGATGATGACTGGAAGGCACCCGAACTGACGAGATGACGTCTTGGGGCGATCTTGAGGAATCTCCTGCTTTGCAAGATATCCAGTTGCCCAATGTCATCGTGGCCAAGCGCGAAGCAGTTGGTCGGAATGTGTTAGCATACGATGAAATACACAGATTAAGGTGCAACCTATATGTAATCAAGAAGTATCGTGAGAACGATATTCCTATTGGGAAATGAGGTCGCCGGATTCGTGACATGCATGAAATGATCTACAATATCATGGGAAAGACATACCGAACAAAGTATTCCCAGCACTGTGCCTCTCGACGGAGAATCAGTTTATCCCATTTCTGCCTCGTATCGCAACATGATACTCCCATGAGAGGTCGATTCGATCAACGCCCAATCGCCGCTTCAACTTTTCGCGCTCCGGTAGCCGGAGAAATCGCAGTGACTGTAGTGCGTGTCGCTGAAATTCAACCAACTTCGAACCACCATTGATGCCATCATTTATCTCTCGCAAATCGATACTATCTTTTCCTGCCTAGCTGTGGGCCAGAAGCAAAATCTTTGAACTGAATCAGCTGTGCTTGCCCACGCAGGGAGATATCCTGCCTACAATCCTATTGATCACGAACCTGAAAAGGGGCTTTGTGTAATTGCACATGATTGATGTATTGATGACATGTACATCACTAATCTTTCAATTTGCTTCGACCAATATTTTTTGTTGGGGCAATAAAAAATCCCTCTGGAGAGATTTTTATTTTTTCTAATCGGAGTATTTTTGCCACAGGACCAGAGATGGGAAGCTTTTGATCAAATGCAATAAATTTCATTTGAGCTTGGTTGTGTTCAGGTGACGGGAATCATGATGGCTTTTGACAAGCACTGTCACGATTGTTCAACGTCGCTGGCAGCGTCACAGTTCGGTGACGTCACGTTTCATCCAACATAAGTCCTGTCAGTATCTGAGGACTGCGTGACATAGACCAAGGTCTGAGGACTGCGTGACATAGACCAAGGTCTGATGCCTGGGTGAGAGGATGATGGATGAAGGAAACAGAAAAAAGGAGCAACCGTGAAGATCGTTGATGGAGAGGGAAGCGTGGTATAATGCTGTTGATAATCCGATTCTATTCTAGACGGTCCATTCTGAGAACCTACGCATCTGATTATTGGATACGATCTCCTCGCGAGAATTGTGCTCAAATATTTATTCCCCAGACGTCGATGAAAATTCTCGTGATCAAATTGAAATCGAACGCGTTTCTAGTTCTGCCTAATTTATGTGGATCGAGCAGAGCCGAAAGTGAGATGAATGGATTGAGTGAGTGCTATGAATCAAGTAAATCCTGGTCTTGCGCCGGGCGACCGCCGCAGACTCTGCCAATCACACAATCTTGCAGTTTTGAGAAACCATCCAAACAATTGACGCGCCGAGGCCCTCCGGTTCTTACGATTAATCGATCCATTCGACGCTGTCTCCCGTCAAACAATGAATATTTAGTACTTCGGCTCGACAGTGGTCTGTCGCGGGTTTCCTCGAGCATTCGATCTTGAGAAACGTAATCCGCCTCCGGTCGCTGACATCCCAGATCCGTGACGTAGCTAGTATAATTCCTGGGCAGGCACGCCGTTTCAGAGCCGCATGATTGACTATGCTTTTGGGAGCAGCACTTATCGGACAGGATCGCCCGACAGCAGTATGACGAGACCGCTCTGGGCCTTCCCTGAAAACAGCTCTTCTGAACTGCTTCAAATTGACAACTGTCGAGTCGGTCAGTGAAGCTTTAGAGGCGAGCCTACTACGAGTGTCGTCGGGCCTACCACGTCGATATAGAAGGTCCACCGATTCGACCAGAATCGGGATGTGCGGGGCCCCACCAATCGCGATGCCGCCCGGAGCTAAATATATCGTCGAGACAGAAAATCAAATTTTGCCATTTAAAACTCCTGCTGCCATCGAGTAGCGGGGGTACCCTGGAAACGACACACAGGCGTAGATGCTCATCCGCGTCCCCGAGACCTTCTCGCCTGGGAGTCCGCGAGCGCGAAGTCCATTTTTAGCTCGCGAGTCGACTATGTGTCATCCCCCCAGCGGCGGCGGCGGCACGCGCCCATCCAGGATCACTGGCCGCCCCTGTCTCCACGTACGACGTTTCGTACCGCGGCGGTCGGGACCCCTCCGCTTTCGTCCACGTCTATCCGCTATTGAGCACACCGCGACAGCGTCAGCAGTTGGTGTGTGGTCTGGACTCGTGCAGGCAGGCCGCGCTCCGCAGGTTAGAGTTTTTTGAGTATTTGACGCTAGCGCACGGAAGTGGGGCCGCGCTGGTGTCAGGTGCGATCGAGACCTCCTTCAGCCTTGTGCCTGCTTCGGTCTTCTCGAATGCGGGATGGCATATGTAGCTGGTCGTTGTGAGCCGAAAAAGGTGTGCACAGGTCTCTCGTACAGTATGACACCGTCCGGATGGAGGAAAGTCATTCGATCGCCTCCCTGCGTGACTGTCTGTCACCGCTGCCGGCTTTTCCTAGCGAGCACAACCCGGGGGCTCACCTCAGAAACGTGGCGTCCGAAGACATTGGCGCCGAGCCCGATATGTCTCGATCTTCACACACCGCGCTCTTGTCCGACACCCACAATTCATTTCCATGTGGCACCGTATCAGATGGACCCACTCAACCTCAACGAAGGAGAAGAAGACGTATGCTTGGCACGCAGCGTGCAGGGGAGGAGTGGATGAACACTTACGGGAATGAGCACATTGTCAAGGACATACTGCCCCCGGGAGTTCTCTCGTCAGCCATGGGAGGGGTCGCCGAATAGAACAACACAACATGGAAGACAAGCTGGCTGGCTGGCCCGCGGAACAGCCGGATAAACCCAAGCGGCGCACGGGTCTGGGAACGAATCTAATCCTAACGGGTCTCAGGCCTGACTGATCATCACGGACAGTCTCCTTATGGCTCTAGCCGTTCCAAGACATCGCCTACCCATCTTCAGGCGCGCATCCGCTCGCGGACTAGTTACACCCGCACGGGACTGTGCGATCGATTAGGCATATCGAGCTGTCCACCCATCCATCAGGCTTTCGCTGTTGCTTTCAGCGCATGCGGTTCCAGGCATAAATCCCGAACGTGGCGGTAAGCGCGAAAGTGTCAGATAGAATCACTCATTCATGATACGCGACGACAGATCCCCGAGCGCTGATATAAGTGCACCCAAGTCAGCCCCGGAACCCTCCCTCCCCTACACGGAAACGGAAACGGAACGGACTCTCCTCCCCCCCCCAACTTACGACCCCACGCTCACGACCCCCGGCCATGATCTCGGACTCCTCTCTGGACGCCAACGCGCTGATTCTTCTCTTCTCTGTGTATTACTTTGTCGAGCGGCTCCTCCGGCTGGTGGTCCGCGCACGGGATGGGGAGTTCTACGAGTACCTCCGGGCGTCCAGGAAGGACATGGTGTTCTTCGGGATATTCATGGGCTTCCTCATCAGCGTGATTTCCACCCCGTCCTGCATCCGCGGTGCCTGGAGCGCTTGGAGCGCGATCGAACCCGGTATGCACGAGCCTGTGTGGGTGCTGGACGACGATGCCAAGTTCTGCATCACCGCGCGCGCTATTCTGTGGGTCTCCGAGCTGAATCGGCTTGATCTGTACCCATTGTATATCATCCATCACACCGGTTCTCTTATCTCGCTTCTCTCGTTCCTCTATTTCCGCTGGCCCATCGTCCTGTTTCTCTCGCTGTTTGCCACGCTCGTGTCGGAAGTGCCCGGCGATCTGCTGTGGATGCTGGCGTCATACATCGACAGCGTAAAAACGCCGTCGCCCAAGCTGCGTGCGCTGAAACAGCGGCTGAACATCTTCAATGTTGCTCAATATGCACTGATTCGCGGGAGCGGTATCGTGTTTGTGGCCTGGATCCTCGTGTACAGCGCGGGTGGCCTGCGCACCCGGCCCATTCCCATGCAGCTTCACGCGTACACTCTCCTCTTTCTCTACAGTGCCTTCTGTGCGCTCTACGTTTACCGCCAGTCGTGCAGCATCTTTCGGATCCGGTCCGGCCCACCGCCGTCGCCCGTCCGCGCCGCCGTCGAGCTCGGCCACGAGCCCGCCACCATCCGGCCTGCGCTCCAGCTGCGACTGCCCACCACGCCCCGGCTCATCGTCGTCCCGTATGGCCCGCTGATGGGGCTCGGTTTCGCCGCGTTGGTGCTCGTCACTCTCACGATTGCCCCCGCCACGCCACGCGACTCGGCCCTGCTCTCACGCGCGCTCGGCATCACGCTCCTCAGCGCGGTGTTCTTCGCCCGCGTGTTCTCGCTCGTCCTCGAGGATGGATGGAAGAAGCTCCTGGCGCGTCCGATCAGAACCCTCCTCCGGCCCGGGTTCTGGCTCCATGGGGGTATGTTCGGCGCGGCGATCGGCGCAGCCGCCGCGGATGCTTCCGGCCTCGTGCCCGACTTCGCGCGTTTCGGGGCCAGTCTCGCTGTGGGGCTGCCGCTGTACGAGGTCTTCTCGCGCATTGGCTGCCACACGTATGGGTGTTGCTATGGCTGCCGCGCGGTGGAGGAAGGGTCGCGCAGCTGGCTCTGGTGTCTGCTGCCCTTCCCGGCCGTCCGGTACAGCCACCCGACCGACTACGCCGCCACGCGCCTGGACCCGCGCCTGCTGCACGTGCCGCTGCTGCCCATCCAGCTCATCTCCGCCGCGCTCTTCCTGATGCTCTTCGCCGGCGTCTCCGTCCCGCTCGCCCTGCACGCCTCTCCCGAGCTCGCCGGCGCCGCGACCGTCGCCCTGCACGCGGCCGTGCGGCTGGTCACCGAGACGTGCCGCGCGGACGACCGGGGCGGCAACGGCCGGGTATCGACGACGGGCAAGCTGGCGTTGGCTCAAGGTTCGATCGGCCTCTCCGCGGCGTCATACATCCTATTCTTCCGCGAACATGGGCCGGAGCTCCTTCCCGCCGCCTTCGTCCCGTGGACAGCGGGCACCAGCGACTGTCGAATATACGCATCCCTCGGCGCGCTTCTGCTCGGGACGTTGGTGTACGGTGTCCATGTCGACCAGATCGGGAACTGGGTCCCGGACGCGGACTCGAAGGCGGTACTGCGCTGTGCGGGGGTCTCCGTTCGTTGTGCGGAACAAAAGCGGTGATTCGGACTCGAGGTTCAGATTTTTTCTTTCTTTGGATATATATCAATATATAGCTTCCAGATATGAGGATCACGACGCATTAACGATTCGGTTTGGATTGGATACATTGGGTACTACTGGACATGGCTACATGAGATTTCCTGACAGACAAGCTTTTTTCACGCCATACCCGGCGTTTGGTTGCTGGTCCCCGCGTTTGACGTGGTGTTTAGCATTTCGATATCTGTCCATCCGGTCAGCAACGCGCCCAGCAGCCTTGTCTGAAACATCGTCGCACCCATCGCAAACTCGGTATCCAAGGGCTGAGCGCCCGACGGCGATGTCGAGTCCGCAAATCTGATGGGGCCGCCATACGTCAGCGTTGTGCTCTGCTCGAATCGGCCCGACATATAAGACAGCTTCGGGTCTCGCAAATTGAGCATCAGACGGGATATGAGAACGGAAGATAGGCTGTAAAGGGGTAAGTTTGAACGTCCAGAGATAAGTGGCGTCAGGGAGTTACATGTTCGTAAATGTTGTCGCGATTCCTCGCGTATACGGCTGCAGTAATCGCGTCAAGGAACCACAGATCGCCAGAGACAATAGATTAGCGCACAGTTCCAAGCTTCATTCATCAAAACTCAGTTGCGTTCGTGCATTACAGAAAACACTCACAGTGAACGTCAAGATATTAGAAACGTTCGAAATCACAATCACTCTATAAGGGGTGGCCGTCAATCCGATCCGGTTATCTGGGCAGTGAATGTTCGCACCCAAAGTAGATCGACCCTGAGTGCTTCGACATCAGGTGACTGTGCGCAGAACTGGATAAATAATTTCGCACCGTCCCTGAGTAAAACGGAAAACAGATCCGTCGTGGTCGTCCGCCGGGAAAGCACCCGGTACAGCGTCAGCGTGAAGATCATGCAATCGAAGAGCGCCACCGCTGCCCACGATGCCGCCTGGCTCGTCGCACTATTCGTGGCGGCCGCAAACAATCAGGATCACTGCTCGTCACCCTATCAAGGTCAATCACACGCACTCTGATTTGGTCAGCCCGTAATTGCAGCCGAAATACAACTGGAGGTTCTCCTCTGTTCGGCCTGCTTTTCCGGCGATCACGGCCCACTGGCAAGAAGCGCAGTTCAACATAGAGCCGAGTGAGAAGGAACGGAACGAACTGCGTACCATGCCCACGACAATCGCACCCGCAGTGACCATCATCATGAAGATGAGCACGCGCTTGTTCCTCTCATAGAGCGCATACGTCCGCAGGATGAGCATCACTTTGTGTGGCGGGAGCAGAAAAAAAACATGAGTCGACCAGCGGGGCGAGCAAGAGACGCGTGGCGCACCTGCGGTCATGACTTGCGTGATGATGAAGAAGAACTGGTGGTACGACTCGATCCCGCGACATCTGCGATTCGCGCAGATCAGCCCCGTACCCATCCACGTGCATCTGAGCTGCTCACATCTGCAACGCACGACACCACCCGCCTCCGCTCAGCTCAGGCCCCCACACACAACGACCCGCGGGACTCACCACATCCTTCGCGGGCGACCCCGGGGTGCTCCAGAAGTACTGTATCACGACGGGGACGTTGCCCAGCAGCGTCCCGTAGCGATTCGCGAAGAAGAGCGCCGTCGGCCACGTCACCGTCGAGCCCCAGTACCGCGAGATCTCCCATCCGAGCGTGAGGAAGTAGTCGTAGAAGAGGATCGCTGCAGGGGAAAGCGCGAAAACGCCGCGGTCGGTCAGTCACGTAGGCTCGGCGGGGCGAACAGCAGGACAACTCGCGGACCGAATGCGGCGGCGTTCAAATTGTAAGCTAAATTCCTAAGGACGCGCGCGCGTGCGCGTGTCAGCTCCAGGCACGATCGTCGGACACCGCGCCGTGTGATGGGCACGGCCACGTACAACTCGGGCTGGATCTCCTCGATGCTAGTGTTCATGAGTCGGCCGACATAAGACGGGGGGTGGGAGCGGAGGGGGGGGGGTGGAAGGAAGGAAGCAGAAGCTGTCAGGAGCCAAGCACCCGTCCCACTCAGTCATAGGGCAAGTGCCTACCCGTGCATGTGCGCCGGAGGGCCGTGTCAAGGCCCTTGCCGATGATGCCATCCGTCACTTTGACTCACCGCAGTCTAAGCTTGGCAGATTACCACGCGTGCCACTCACGGCTCGTCCGGACCTCCATTATCGGACGTCATGCTCTATCAGTCAGACTCTAAGCCAGACGACCTGGTACTGTTCTGGCCACGAAACGAGCTCTCCGGAACTGTCTGGGTAAACCGACTCAAAGCCATATGGGGTACCGAAACGCTGCAACAGACCCGCAAGTTCCGGGTGCCTTCGGCCAGCGAAGAACCACGAGTGATTTACATAAAACCTAGATAGGCATCTCAATAAGCGTGTCCTTGTTCCTGATCCTTGCTGCCCGTCAAAACGCTCGCAGTCACTTGTCAAGCCCCCGGCGTTCTGATGATCGCATGCTCAGCCTGATCGAATACTGCAAACACTCCGCTCATTGGGCGAACAGAGAAAGGAAGATCCGCAATGGCGCAGTGATCAATCACGATTAGATTAAGATTAGATGTAACAGGATCAGGAAGCGCACAACGCACTCAAGCTCATGGTTTGCAAACGGTTTCAATGCAAAACGGAGAAATAATGATATATACTCCAACCATGGCTAGTCAAAACTACAAAAAATATCGCTAGAGATGAAAACCCAATACCGCTAGAACCACTAGAACCATACATCGGACCGAAAACATTCCTTGATCAAAATCACAGCCGCGCAGTCGCACTAGGCAAGTTCCCGACTTGAACCTCCCTTGGTCCCAACCAGACGCGGTTCAAGACAGGTGCACCACCGATACCAAAAGCAGGACCAGACGTCGACGACGCCCGTTTATGCCCCTCGACACCGCCATCGACACCAAATTGAACCCCTCCACCACCACCACCAGCAGCAGCAGCAGCAGAAGAAGAGTCGCGCGGTACAGACGTAACCGAATGCCGGTTACTCGGGACAGTCCGACATCGAGCATGCACAGCCGAGTGCGGACTGAACGCCGGCGGACTCTCGTCACGACAGTAATCCAGCGAGTCCCGGGGCGTCGGTGTGCCCGTCCGCGACTGGAACGACGAACCAGAAGCAGGCTTGTATTGGTGGGGACCGGACTGGCCGGCCCTAACTCCGAGCGGTACGTTCCCACTCAGAACACGGGACACCGGTGAATCAAAACTGGACGCCGGCGTCTGTGCGACGGACGAGCGTCTGGGACGCATGACATTACGTCCGATAGGCAGAAGCGGTGGTTGCGGTGGGAATTGCGGTAGAATGTCCCGTTGCGACTTCATCACGGCCATGAAAGTTGACAGAGAAACCATATCTGCAGCCGAGTGCGCCGGAGGATTGGCGGTGCAGGTGTTCATGTTATACGGCGCGTAGAAGGCAGTCGGGTCAACGCGTCGGTCGTTGCCGCTTATCAGCTGTCCTCGTCGGGAAGCGAGAAGCTCATGGATATCGATCGTGCCGGGAGGAGCCGGGGTCGTCGTGTAGATGGTATTCGTATGGAAGTTCGAAGAAAGGGGAGGCGGAGTTACGAGAGTCCTGTTTGGTGCTGCCAGCGTAGGGGGAGCAATCGACTCGAGAGCATGATAATTCAACAGCGTTGCGTGGGCGATCGTCAGTGGGTGACCTGAATCGTCGCGAATCGTAGATTCGTTTCTCTGTACTGCGGTCAAAATCGGGCTCGGAGGTTCAATCATGAAGGAAAACGCACCCTGAGCTCTCGCTGATCAAGCGTATCCGCAATGCGCAGGAAGATACGACTCTCGATCCCGTCCCACGAGCGCACTTTCTTGCCGTTCAAGCGGTTGATGATGCTCTCTGCCGCATCTCTGGATTCCATCCTGGATTTTCCAGAGGTCAGAGATTGTCATCGATGAAATGATGCGACCCGGACCTCATAAATGCGATCAACGTCTTCGAATTCGGGACCTTGCTGGTGATGAACCGAGAGCTTCGGATCGCGTAGGGATAGACAAGCTCCAAAAGAGTCTGCGAAGGTTGCGCGATGAATGAATGAACCCCAGTGAAACGTAGGACACTCACGGTTTTGTCTGAGCCAAGCGGAATACTGAGCAACAGAACATAAGACGACTGAGACCACGCAAGCAAAAGAATAACACACCCTTCAATGTACACATTCGCACTCGAGCGATCCTCCAACTCCGCGAGCTTGTCCTTCAGGCTTTTGCACGACCCGCTCCCACTCGACGTGAAGCTGTCAAAGGACCCCACAGACGACAAGGACGACGTGCTCGGCATTTGGTCAAGAGCCATAGCAGGAGCGGGGTTGCATATGATGCGAGGAGGTTTATTGACCTATTCATGTGGAGGTCTGTCAGATTCGAGCAACCGGAGCACGAATAACGCGCCTTGGAGAGCGACGGATGCAAGTCGCACTTCTTCAGCGTCTCAATACACTTCTCCGCCGCCTCCATAGTCTTGAATCTGCGCGTCGCAATGAGACTCGCCACTCGGCCGCCGATCAGAGCACCCGGCAACTCACAACACAAATCCGTACCCCGACGCCCGCGCGGTCTGACGCGTGAAGCACTTGACGCTGACCACCTCCCCGAAATTGCGCACCATCGCCATGAGCTGTTCGTCGCGGAAGTACGGCGGCAGCCCGTTGATGTACACGTTCGGGTTCTCGCTCGGCGGCTTCGAGCGGACCCCGGCAGCGGCGTCGGCGGGCGGGGCGAGGTCGTCTGCCGGGGATAGGTCGAGCAGCGTGATGTGGCGCGCGCCGGAGGCCGGGTCCGAGCGTGGGATCGTCGTGGCCTGCGTCTGCTTCCTCTCGCCCGACGCGGCGAGGAAGGCCATATCGCCTAAGCGCGTGGCCCGTGTCAGTCGGAGGGAGGCCCGGTGACGTGAGAGACCACACACCAGAGTCGAACGAAATCAGATTTGCCCCGCCTTGCACGCTTGGTTCCCCAATGGTGGCCGCCTCCAGAAAACACTCGTCACGGTTAAGGATAACCCACGACTCGCCCAAGCCCGGCTCTTCGCAATCGTGCCTTGAATTGAAATCCGGGTCCGCCATCCGAGATATGGGGGAATAAGATACAATAGAATACCAAGCGAATGTGGAGGCCGAGAAATGTGGTAAGAAGGAAAGGAGAGAATGTGTCGCGGTCACGTGTGCGCATGATCGCCGTTTTGAATGGCGCGATCGGTGATCGAGACCATTGACCGCGTCACCACACAATAGATTTACGGAGAGGTTCCTGGATGTGTGCGACAATAGGTATCTGTGACAGGTACAATGAATGTGGAGATAAAGTCAAAGTTTGCCCAGTGGGGTCGGAGGCAAAGTCGAAGTAGATAATATCTTCCATATAGCGTCAGCGGTGCCATCTGGATTCTCCTGCACGATCTAACAAGTTGTTTGAGTTTATTTCATTGAACCAAGGGAATTATTGCTCACCAGGTGCCCCCCATCAACGGTAGAGACTGACGTAGCTTTCCGTCCTTCTGTTCCGTCGGTCAACGCGCGTTGTACAAATTCAGGACTGTAAATAGTCGTTCCTGGCCCCCGTTGGATCAAAGCGATCACTCACACCAAACATTCACTGCCCCACACGAAGTGCACAGGCACTGAATCGCATATCCTGCCCAGCTCTACCGGCGCGAGGAAGTGCGACTCAACGTCGGTATACCCAAGCGCCTCCAGCTTCCGATCGAGCTTCGTGGTCACCCCACCGTCAGACGGCCCTTCAAGGCCATGTTCCTTCAGATCAGCTATCAGCGGCGGAACAAACGGAGAAAGCGGATCTCTGCACACCGTCAGTTTCCGGAGAACCCTCTCGTCCCAGCTTTCCCATGGCACCCGCTTCCGCATCCAGGTGTACGCCGCTTCCGCAGACCGCCACCGCTCTCGCCTCGACTCGGTCGCAGTGACAACAAATTCCATGGTCGAGACCCGTTCCTCAATCTCTTGATAGAACAGCTCCCGCGGGATGATGCTCGGTTCGATGAGGATGAGGCTGACGAAGGGGAGTGAACGGAGAGGTCGGTTCACATTCGTCAGGACCCTGGCGTAAATGAGTAAACGGATGTTCAGGGAATGAAGACAAGCTCACATTGCACCACCACCGGCAGAGTGACCGATTCCGACCAATCGTTTGCCTTTTGCTAACGGTCCGTCTATAAAGGCGGACACACCGGCAGCCCATTCCGCCGCAGCTACAGGGATGAGTTCCACGACTGGGGACATGATGTGACTTCTCCACTTACTCACTCCAGTATGTGCTCTCCCAGGGCTTCTTTCAAACGTCTCGCGATTCACTACCGCCGAATCCCCGTGCGTCTGCCAATCAAAGGACCAAGCCTCGGCGACTCGCCCCCCGGACAGGCTGAAAAGTCGCTCGATGACGGATTCCCATATCTCCTTGTCTGCCGGCTTCAATCCCATCAGAAATTCACTTCTAAGAATGGACTCACGAGCTCCAATGCAGTGCGCAAACAGCAGTGTCAATCCGTCGCTGCCCGCGTCCGCCGTCCCATTTCCGCCGGCTGTGTAGCGCTTGGCACACATTTTCAGCTTGATGCCATTGGGGTCAATGGAGCTCTGGGGACACTCGATAGTGTGAGAAGAGAATTGCATTGGCATTAGTACTCGCAAGCAGCGTTGCTGGAGGGAGATCGAAACAGGCCTGGACGATGAAGTGGCGGAGCTTGAATCACTGGTGATGACACGTGAATACGGCACGAATATCCGGGCCTGCGCCAGAACAGCTTTTGCCCTCACCTCCCCCCAGACACTTATATGAAATACTGTTCAAAATGCACTGCAGTCGAAGCTCTCCTCTGCGGATCCTTCGTTCTTCAAGCGTCGATATGGCCGCAGTACTTGGCCGCTGCGGGATGATCACACGTGGTACTGCGCAGCGCTGATAAAGACTGACGAGGTCAGGCCTGGACTAACAAAGGACGGCCTGTCTCTCCCATCCACCACCATGATCCTCAAAGACGCAAAGGAGGTCATTTCGCCGGATGTCGTGGTGAATCGCGCTGAGGTCGATGTCCGTCGTCTTGCCACTTCGTCGTGCTTCACACTCACTAGCTACAGGACGCTCCACCCGCATACGCCCAATCCCCCGGTCTCTCTCCTGCAACCACCCCCTCTGACGCCAAATCCCAGGATGCGGGCGCGACAGATCCCCCTCTGCCGCCTACGCCGGGCGCTCCGACTCTGCCGACAGACATCCGCCCGACGAACTTCCTCACCCTCTCCCGCAGCAACGACTCGATCAGCGGCTCCTTCGTCATCGACCCGCGCATCAAGATCCCCACAGCGCATCTTCCACCACTGGGCCCCGGTGAGACGGAAGAGACCCGGCGGAATGCGTCCTTCCAAAGTGCGAACGGCTCTGTCAAGGTCGACCTCTTCGTTTTGGGAGACGACACCGTCGAACGACCAGTACTCCTCTTCGTCAAATCGAAGAACGGCCCTGTGCATGCCAAACTGGTGCGTGGGCCCCATCACCCGGACCTCCTGGAGCCTGACGCACCGCGCCGCAGCACGCAGCCGACACTGCTCGTCCACCAATCCAACTGACTGCGCAGTCATCCAACGGCCCCGTCCACGTCCATTTCCCCCGCTCGTTCAACGGTCCCCTGACCGTCGTGACGCGCAACGGCTCGGTCAAGCCCTCGGCGCTCCTGACGAGCGAACTGACGACCTTCAGCGAGACGAACGGCGTGCGCAAGTATTTCGTCGGCGACTTCTCGGGCTACACGGACGCAGAGGGCTGGCGGGGGGACGAGGCGCATGTCGAGACTTCCAATGGCAGCGTGACCCTCCGGTTCGACCACGAGCCGCCGCCTCCGGTTCCAGAGGGGAAGGGGAAGGGGTTCTTCGCCAAGCTGTCTTGGGGTTTCTGAAGCTGTACACCTCCCACATCGATCTTTCGCTTTCATTTGAATACATGGCTTGTACACTAGGCAGTGATCATCCCAGAATTGTTCACAAGCAGCGGTCAGTGTGGAGGAAAGCCATGACATAGCTTGAGAAGACTGGGTCTCTGATGCCTATGGACCTCATCATTGTTCAGTATCACAGCTGCTTCAGAGATGACTGAGATCAGTGATTTTTTCGCTTGCGGTGATTACCTCAACGGGGAAAACGTCTCTGGTCATTCTGAGAGTTACTGTAATAAACTCTCATGTCTGACCACTCCACTGATTGAGGTACCTTTGTGAGCTCAAAACGTACCTCTTTGAGTACAATCGGGGGTACGGTCTAAGATAGCCAGCCATCTGTGCATGTATTACTTGGCACATATCTTTAGTTTGCTGCCCAGGGGGTCAATAGAGCTCTGATGATGCAAAACGATGTGATAGGAGAATCGCATTGGCATTGGTGCTCAGAGCTAGAGTCAATGGCATTGGAGGGAGGAGCTTGAATGAGTAGTGATGGAACGTCAATATGGGACAAATATCCAGACCACCTTCTCCTAAACCAGTGTTTGCCCTCATTCCACAACGAATCCTGCGCGCTCTCCGTGCCTCAATGAGTAAACACCCGCCTGCAACACTTGGCAACCGCGGGAGGATCCCACGTGTACTGCGCAACGCTGATAAAGAGGTCAGAACTTGACTGACGGGGCACGATCCGTGTCTTCTGTGTCATTTACTGCTGTGATCTTGAAAGACGAGAAGGAGACCATCACGCCAGATGTCGAGGTGAATCGTGCCGAGGTCGACTTCTGCCGCATGCATCACACTCACCAGTCTCCTGCAGAACGCTCTACCCGCGTACGCTCAATCTTCCAGTCTCTCTCATACAAGTCTTCCTTCAGACGACAAGTCCCGCGATGCGGCCGCGCCAGATCTCCCTCTTCCGCGTACTCCCAGTGCTTCGACTCCACCGGCGCACATCCGCCCCACGAACCTCTCCCGAAGCCACCAGTCGATCAGCGACTCCTTCGTCATCAACCCGCGTATAAAGCTATCCACGGCACATCTTCCCATACTGGGTCCCGGTGAGACAGAGGAGACTCGGCGGAATGCGTCTTTCCACAGCTCTCCCGGTTCTGTCAACATCGACCTCTTCATTGTGGGAGACGACACTATCGAACGCCCCGTCTTGTTATTCTGCGACTCTGATTACGGCTCTGTGCATGTCAAGCTAGTGCATGACCCTATCCAACCTCCCTCTCCACTTCCTGAAGCCTGACGCACCGCTCCGCATATGTAGCCGACGCCGCCCGTCCGCGAATCCACCTGAATGCTCGGTCGGCCAATGGCTCCTTGCAAGTCGATTTCCCTCGCTCCTTCAACGGCCCACTGACCGTCGCGACGCAATATGGCTCGTTCAAGCTCTCGGCGCCTTTAACGAGCGAACTGACGACTGTCAGCGAGATCAACGGCGTGCGGAAGTACTTCGTGGGTGATATCCCGCGCTCTACAGACGCAGAGGGCTGGCGGGGTGATGAGGCGCATGTAGAGACGGTCTATGGGAGCTTGTCGCTGCGATATGAGAATGAACTCCCATATCCAGTTCCGGAAGCGATTGGGTTCTTCAGCAAGCTGTGGTGGAGTTCATGAACCCGCACACCTCGTGCACCGATCGTCTACTTTCGTTTGTATACACAGCTTGCACACAAGGCAGTGATCTTGACAGATTCATTGATAAGCCACTGATCATGCTTCAAAAAAAATATTGAAACTACAAAATCCACTCCATTGCACGTGTTCAGGCATTAATGGGGTAGTGGTAACCTGGGTCGTTGCCATACAGATCAAATTCTGTTACGGTCTCTCGACCCGCCGGGGGTTCGATTCCCCCTTAATGCAGACCTACTCAGCTCTGTGCTGCAAGACAACCTTTTTTGCTCCATTCAAAAGACGTCCCCGGCCATCTGTTCTTTGACACCTCAAAGGTCCATTTGGTTTGTGACGGAGCGACCCAATAAGGCCCCCTGGAACTACCTGTTGACTCAGTCCGAAATAGTGCAAATCAAGGTCCAAAAATGGCCATACCTCAGTCTGAAAAATAGCGCAAATCAGGCCGAAAACACTAAATCTCAGGCCGAAATAGTGCAAATCGCGGGGGTAAACCGCAATTTTTTTCGCATTTGCCCTTGTCCTTTGATGCCCGAGGAGAGTTGAAATTAGGCCGTTCACCTCTTGTAGCAAGCCAGATCCTGTGGAACGCGCCCGAGCCTTAGAGGCGGAAAAATTGGACGGAAACTTGCTCATAACACTACGAAAAGCTCCAAAGTTACCGAAATATAGGTGAACCTCAGACCGGAAATAGCACAAATCAACGCTCAGAGAGCCGATTTGGTAGTGCAAATCAGCCTCTTGAGGCGGACTGACCTTGTAGGGGGTAGCTGGGGGCCTACTAACTATCTATCACTTTACCCGGACATTGCCGCGGAGTCACCCTTCAATCCCGCTGACTGATATCAGGCAGATCCATCCACATCTCTTTGCTCCTACTACCATGCCACCTGCAGAGTACTTCATTCGCCTCCAACACGGTATGCTCGAAATGCCATTGAGATATCCTCTCGACGTTCTAACGAGACCAGGTATCGTGGGCGGCTTTGCCCCACCGACGCCCGACTCGGTGTACACGCTGACCAAGACCTCGGGGCTCTCCAACATCAGCATCACGACGGCCGTGCGCCCCGACGGGACGCCGGCTCTGCAGGACGGCGCGCCGACGTCGCTCGCGGGGGACGCGCCCAGCACGGACACGCTCGTCGACGAGCTGTACGCGATCCTGCAGGCGATCCCGGTCGAACAGCCGACGGGGAGCGAGGACATCTACGGCCTGAACACGAGCATCGCGTGGGTGAGCGAGGGCTTCGAGTGGTTCAACGGCGGCCCGGCGGGGACGACCGGTGGGACTAGTGCGGTGCAGCCGACCGAGGGGGATCGGGCGAAGTTCAAGCGCGCGGTGGAGATCGTGAAGGAGCTCGTTGGGGAGGCGAAGTGAGGGGGTGATGCGGCCCTGGGAACCTCAAGTGAGTCTTTCGCCCCGGATCGTACGGTTCTAGGGTCTGATTGCGTCGTAGCTGTACAATTGTAGTATCATTCTAGCTGTGATCAATTATGTTGGCCGTGCAATTCAGTCATAGCCGCATTTCCGATGCTCATCTCCCCGCCCGGAGCATCGTCGCTCCGAGTTACACGCATCTAGCGGACTCATCGATTCAGCTCGAACGCGGCTTCAGATCTGATATCCGGACCTAGACATAGCCTTCACATAACAAACTCCGCCGAGCTTCTGGATCATTGTCGCTGTGCTCCCGTGGTGTCATTGCAGCAGAGCTTCGTCTGGGCTTCGACGGGATCTCTCACCACGACTGGCAGCGATGACGCCACTGATATCCTTATCTTATCGCTCTGACCATGTCAAGCGCTGCCTTAACACCCTCGGCGACGTTCGGAAACGCCGGACGAACAACCTGCCGACGCGCTTCAGTGATGGGGTTGGGTCTCTCCCGACATCTAATGCTTTCGACGAAGCAGGGGGTCGGCCTCCCACCGCTGACACAAGCACGATACAATATGTCCTCGCAGCCTGTGCGACATATCTGCCCCGTTGCCTCTGACAGCGAGCTGATTCCTGCTGACGTTGCTGGATCAACATAGCTGGTGATGTTGGCTCTTCACTGAACTTTACACATTCCACAGCTCATAAATTGAGAGGAATCCAAAAACCTCCACGATACATCTGATCTGTCCTCACGGTCATTGAGCTCTGAATCGCACTTCACACAAGGTATCGGACTCCCATACAGAGCACTTCAAATTCTGACCCAATTCCACGATTCGAATGCACGAACAGGCCACCCTTGGGATGATCACTCGTCGAATTTTGAGGCGCTCTGCAGTCATTTTTCAGGGTCTCAGCGAGGCCGAAGAGGGCAGCGACTTGGTAGAGGTTGCCCGTTTGGACGCATTTATCAGGGCAAATGTGCTCCGTTTCTGGACCCCGATGAATTGTTTCGCGCAGAAGACGACTTTCCCGGGCAATGAGACACTCTCATGTCTTGGCTGCTTCGCAAGAACCACGCTGAATATGAAGTCCGCAAGCGACGAGTGAATGTACGTCTCTACTCGCGCTCGCAACACTTTGTGTCCTCTCGGTGTCGAAACTCCGTAATGTTGGCAAGGATAATCCTGACAAGCTCTCAGAGGGAGCCATCACCTCCTACCAGGAATTCAGCCGATTGAAAATCGCGCATTAATGGGGTAGTGGTAACCTGGGTCGTTGCCATATTGAGCACAGAAGTGTCTCGACCCGCCGGGGGTTCGATTCCCCCTTAATGCATGATCGAACATGGATGGTCGAGACGGTTAACTTTCTGTAAGCCCTCCTTTTCTTATTCGCCTGATGTGATACTTGAGTTGTGATTCAAGAAGTACATAGGACCCCTCTGGTCGTTATTTCGCGCGGCGATTTTTGCGCCTCTGTTCATCGAGGCCCAATATGGTGCGTCCTGCCGCACATCAGCGCCCCGCATGCTTTACTCCGTTTTTAATCTAGGGCATAGTTCGCCAATCGGCTTCGAGCTCATGCTCCGGCATGGATCCGGAGGACTCAGTGTTTATTAGCGTAGCTCGCGAAGAAGAACTTGGGCTCGAGTGCAAATGCTGAAACACGCACCAACAGTTTTGAGGAGGACCCTTCTCAAACGCTTCCGAGTTGCAAGCACCTCCATCCATATCAAGGGTCGGTTTATGTTGCCTGAGGGTGTCCGCTGCCGCTCGGGCCAGATGTGGCCCAGAACGAAGCCTGAAATCCCCTAGCAACCCCTGATTTTTGACAAGACGGTCTAAGAGATTGAGCGACCTGTGTTGCCTTACCGCTGCAAACCAAAGCCCAATCTTGCCGTCGATATCAGGGGTCCTGAAAGAAGATCGCGACTCCCCTGACAGATAGCGGAACTTAGATAGCCAGTTATCAGCGGTATCTGCCGTCGGCGGACGCCGACCTGTGCCGATGCGTCCGATTCACATGCGGACGTCAGCGGCCACCCTGGGTGCCTGAAAACTCACACGAGCGGCTGCAAAATGCGACGCGGTGCATAAAACACACTGTTTCGCTTCGCTCTTATTATTACCGTCATCTGTGTTCCCCCGCTCCTCACTTCCGCCTGGCAAGAGGCATGTCGTCGCCGTCCGTTTCATCGATCCCGGCGGATATCGCGTTCATGTGCGTACCCGCAGCGAACAAAAGTCCGATCGTGAGCTGACCCGGCCGCGCGCAGTACCGGGCCAACGGTGCGTTCTTTCTCGGACGGTCGACCGAGCGGAGTGGCTGAGAGATTTGCGCGGTGGAGATGATGGGGATCTGCCTGAACTGGGGTCTTGCGGGCGTCTTGGTCGTGCAGATATGTGCGTTTTCGCTCCGTTCTCCCCCTCGTCCTCCTCATGCATTTCCCCTGGCCCGGCAGACAACTACTTCGAATCTTCCCCCCGCGATCCCCTCCTCGTCAAGGTGCTCGTGTACACGCTCGCGGCGCTGGATGCGGTGCAGACGGCGATGGTCACGGCGGACGCGTTCCACTGGTTCGTGTTCGGCTTCGGCGACATGGCGCGGCTGAACGACACGTTCCTCAACTCGTGGGACGTCCCGGTCCTCGACGCCATCATCTCGCTCGTCGTGCAGGCGTTCTACTGCTGGCGCATCTGGTACCTGCGCAAGAGCTACGTCATCCCCAGCGCGATTCTGCTCGTTGCGCTGCTCCAGTGCGGCGCGGGCATTGCGACGGGCGTCCGGGTATGCCTGTGAAACATTACGCAAGCTCCCCCATCCTGACTGGCGCGTTCTGTCTTCTCTCCCCCTATGTCGGTCTAGGCCCATGAGCTTGGGAAGCTCTCCCTGATTGGCACCGAGGTTGCCCAGCAAACGGTCCGTGCTTCGCTCCTGCTCCACCCTCACGCGGCACGGAGCCGAGCCTGAACCTGAGCTCATCTTTCTGCGCGCAGATCTGGCTGGTGGGCGGGGCCGTCGCAGACGTCGCGATCGCGGTGGTGCTCTCTTGGACGGTGCGTGACGGCGGATCAGCGATCTGTCATGTGATATCCATGCCCGAGCAGCTCTTGCACGAGCGCAAAGGCTCGTTGCCGACGACGCAGAGTCTGATCACGCGCGCAGTGCGGCTGATTGTCGAGACGAACGCACTGACTGGTGCGCGCCTGCCCTATTCCGGCATCATCGCCAGGTGACTGACACACCTCCAGCCGGCGTAGCAGTGATCGCGCTGATTATCTACTGGGGCGTACCCGTGCGTCTATACCTTGTTGAGCACCGGCAGGGTTAATCACTCTTCTACGCAGGCCCATCCCGCACTCGTCGTTCCCCCGTGAGCCCGCCCGCCCTCTTTCCGATCATCTTTTTCGCAGCCCGACTGACGGTCCCCCCAAAGAACGGCCATCATCGGCAAACTGTACACCAATTGCCTCATCGCGGTATTCAACAACCGCAGCAAAAACTTCGCCGGGAGCAACTCCGCCCACGGCATGCAGTCGCTCAACCTGCCCCGCCCCCCGCGCTCCGCCACGCGCCGCGCAGACTCGGGATCCGGGTCCGCGCACGACCTGGGGGGCGTGCGGATCCACGTCGTGAAGGAGATGGAGCTGGGCATGGGGATGGGGATGGATATGCGCCCCGAGAGCGAGACGGACATGGCTTCGGAGGATATCGAGGTCGGTGAAATTCGTCGCTCTAGGATAGTATGTTGCTTACTGGAACTGGTCGTCAGTTCCGTAAACATTGAAGCATGGATCTTGGATCGTGTTTGGGTGTGGGATTTGAATGTATCTACTGTATATACCACCCCCGCCACTGGACGTTTTCTTTGGGTGTACAGCATCGGCTCTCACGGATAGATATAGCGTAGAGGAGACTGAGTGTTCTCGAACGCATCTGTTGTATGGATTGCTTACAACATAGCAAATTGATCTTTTGAGTAAATCAGCAGACAAACCGGTATTTATTATTAGTTTTACAGTATTGTTTGGTCTGATAGACGCGAAATTCTTTGAGGAGATTCATAAAGCAGCCCAAAGAGCTTGTACGATGAGAATGATCAAAGCAGTTTCCAGAGCGAACCTGAGAAGATGGACTGATGTTAGGAACTTTATGTTTCACCATTGTCCAACTTTTGAGATACGAGAACTTTGAAACCAAGTACTTAGTGAGTCCAGGAGACCCTCGAGTGGTCGGTCTGAATGGGTACGAAGCGTGCCGATTACCCTTGAATGGGGCTTCCCACGGCGTTTACCAATCCTTTTGAATGAAGCAACACATCTAACTGAGTATATGGGCAGAGTCCGCCCTCCCCACTTCTCCTCTCAAATCACCGACCGTCGCAGCGGTGTTAGCCAGAGGCACAACCGCCAATCAGTCTTGTCGGCTGCCGGGTCCTAAATTCCGACGAACTCCGCCTCAGTGGGCGCTTGCCTGAATACTCGGGAGACGCGTTAACGAGCCGGGATCCATCCTGGCAAAGCTTCAACTTTCCCAGGGTCGTCGTGCGTATACGCTGGGCCTTGACATCGCGGGGAATGGGGGCCGGATCAGATGGAAAGATGTGATTCTTGTTCGGGGACAAGAGCTAGAATCGTTGGATAAAGATCAGCGAGGGGACGGAAATAATGCCTACACTCACCTAGAAGATGATCGGCAATTCTGACGGTTCACCACTGCCAACGGAAGTGGGCTACATCGGAGTGTATGTCACTACTTCAAACATTCAAACAGTTGCAAATACATATTTCGCGGTGCTTCTGACTTCTTTCCGCTACCCTTGCTCCTCCTTCCCTCCTCCCTACTTCCCGCCTTTCGAGAGCTATGTCTGCGTCGACCGCCCCGCCGATCCCATTGGATATCGCATTCATGTGCGTGCCGTCGCGCCGAGCCTCTGATCACAAACTCACCGGCAATGGCACGCCAGTACCGGGCCCACAGTGCGTCTCCTCCCCCTTAGGTGCACGCAGCGCGATTGCTGAGGCACCCGCGTAATGGAGATGGTGGGGATATGTCTGAGCTGGGGTCTGGCGGGCGTCATGGTCGTGCAGATATGTGCGTCCTCCTCCCTTCCCCGCTGCCTCCGCCGCCGCCGCATACCAACCCCACCCCGCCGCGGCAGACAACTACTTCGAAGCGTTCCCGCGGGATCCGCCGTTCGTCAAGGCGCTCGTGTACACGCTCGCGGCGCTGGATGCGGTGCAGACGGCGATGGTCACGGCGGACGCGTTCCACTGGTTCGTGTTCGGCTTCGGCGACATGGCGCGGCTCGACGACACGTTCCTCAACTCGTGGGACGTGCCGGTCCTCGACGCCATCATCTCGCTCGTCGTGCAGGCGTTCTACTGCTGGCGCATCTGGTACCTGCGCAAGAGCTACGTCATCCCCGGCGCGATCTTGTTTGTTGCACTCCTGCAGTGCGGCGCGGGCATTGCGACGGGCGTCAGGGTGCGTATGAGAAATATTCCACGAGCTGACTACGTTGACATTTCGCGCTAGGCGCATCAGCTCGGCAAGATCTCGTTGATCGGCACCGAAGTGGCTCAGCAAACTGTGCGCCCACTTATCGGTCTTACTGCGCATCCACGCTGAGTTCATGGGTATTCTCGTAGATCTGGCTAGTCGGCGGGGCGATCGCAGACGTATCCATCGCCGTTGTGCTGTCCTGGACTGTACGTCACAACCTGATTCATGTCGATATATGAGATGGACACCGCAGCAGCTGTTGCACGAGCGGAACGGCTCGTTGGCATCGACGAGGGGCTTGATCACGCGCGCCCTGCGTTTGATCGTCGAGACCAATGCGCTGACCGGTGCGTTGCGGCACTGCGGGCCCGGATTTCCGCATCGCTGACGCATTCCAGCCAGTGTCGCTGTTATTGCGTTGATTCTCTACTGGGGTGTCCCGGTACGTCGAAAATGTATGCTTTCAGTCTTGTAGCTCTCACTTACACAGCAACCTCAGTCCCAGCCCACACTCGTAGTTCCACCGTACGTCCTTGCTTTTTTAGATTTCCACCGGCCTCCGAAATGACCCGCCCAGGACGGCCATCATGGGGAAGCTGTACACCAACTGTCTCGTCGCGGTCTTCAACAGCCGCAGCAAACGGGTCGACGACAAACAATCCTCTCACGGCATGCAATCGATCAACCTTCCCCTTCCCCGCACGCCGCGCTTCTCCGCGCGACGATCGGGCTCCTCGCCTGTGTCTGTGGACGGTCTTGGTGGTGGTGGTGGCGGCGGCGGCGGTCGGGTGCATGTGGTGAAGCAGATTGAGCTTGATAATATGGGCGTGGATATGGGCACGCGCCCGGAGAGCGAGGCCGATATGACGTCGGAGGATATTGAGGTGCGTGTGTGACAACTCGGTGCCCGGAGTGTGTGCTGCAACGTCACTCACGGCTACTTCAAGTCCCGCAAACATTGATGATCGGGATGGGTTAGATGCCTTAGCAAATTTTCGATGTCGGTGGACTCGCTGTATGGGTACATTCTCGCTGATAATTTCGTTAGCGTCTGAAAGACGGTGGTCGACGGGTCGGACTTACATATCAATATATATCTATTCCAATCCGGAGGACTTGTCTGGCGGTATCATGAGTATTGACCGCGAGGACGATGTGCAGCGCAGACTCACAAACAGCGACAGAGCCTAACATTACATCGCATGCCATTGACTATTATACACACCAAGGAAATTCAAGTACACCCCATGGTCTCTCCATCAAAATCTGGATTCGCCCGCATGAACCAGAAACTCTCCCACATCGTCACTAAGACACCAGCCGTCATGAACGTGCAGCCCGCCAGGAACAGCCGCAGCTCAAGGGAGGAGGAGGAGGACGCGATTGTTGTTGTTATCGCGGAGTCGGAGATGGTATTGGAGATTGGGGTGACCCGGGTGAGCATGTCCGTGGCGGCGAGCGCTGAGGGAAGAGGGACAGGACTCATGATCTTGGAATGCTTAAGGGAGTGGTGAGTGCTACGGACCTCAGTATCCGTGGGAGCTTGCCTTGCAAAATGCGGCACTTACTGTTTACTCTGAGGACAACGAGAGCCGGAGATAGAGCCACGGACGTGAATTGGATCGAATGAAGTCGAACAGAATAAAGGCTCGCCGGGAGGGGAGAAGAACGGGAGTGAAAGACGGAAGATGGAAGAGAAGAGGAAGACGTAAGCAGTGGCGGTCGAAGCAAAGAAGCAAGGCACCGCGGATGACCGCCGACATGCGTGGCTAGTGCGCTCCGTGTCATCCCCATCTCACGGGTTGCTGATCTGCACGTCGGCTTTGTCTAGGCACCGCGTGCAGCTGTACCACACATGGCGCAGACGTATCACGGACGGATTGATGTCCGAGATGATGGGGTGGTATGATTGTCAAAGGCAGAGTAGACGTGAGGTTCAAGCATCTCTCTCTTGATATGAAGAAAAAAGGAGTTGGATGCAACATCGGCGCTTAACATCAGTAACGAGTCTCCGGTAACACGGTCACGCGAAGCAGTCAATAAACCGGGCTGGCAACATCGCCGTGATGTCAAAGACGATCGGATCAGAGAGAACATCGCCGTCAAAGTTCCGGTGACAGGTTATGATGGCTCATCCACGCGTAGTTGTGAAAGCCTCAGGAGCACTGATTCCTCTTCATCGCGACGGCTTTGATTTTCTCATGCGCGTCTTGCTTTCTACCTACTCACGTTTCCACCCGTTGCTGTTGTATTCTCACACAAAGAATGCATCAAGGGTCCCACGTGCGGAAAGATTCCATCCGTCTTGCATTTGATCAAAAACAATGACCATCAAAGCAAGTATAAGTTATACTGTAGAAATAGACAAAAATCCGTGTTTTCGAGCTTCCAGCTGGTTGCAAATTGCGAGGCCACCGTCCCTCATTCTCGACGTGATGGGAGGTGGAGCTGTCGTGACATGCCGCCGTTGCCGGGTAGCTGTGACTCAATTTTTTCCCAGCTATTTTTGTGAGGTAGGTGCTGGATTCTCATTGGGCATACCCAAGAGGTACTATACATGATGGTAAGACAACCTGGGCAGTTCAAAATTGTTGAAAGAATAGTATTCATTGTAGTAGACGAGAGAAAATGAACTTGCAATGCATGGAACATCAAGCAATTGCACAGCGGGCCCCACTTGCCCACCGGCCCCACCCTCCCGGCAACAGCGACATGTCACCACAGCCCCACTTCCCATCATGTCGAGAATGCAGGACGGTGGCCTCGCAATTTGCAACTAGCTGTCAAGAGGCGACGAAAGATGGCAGAACATCAGCATCAGTGCATTAGTAATTTACTTGGGGGTTTAGGCGCAGGGATGACGTAAGCGCGAGTGACTATGGAGCGCAGGAGATCCACGAAATCTCGTAAGCGATCTTGGCCGAAGGTCATATCATCCACGGGGCCTCCATATCGAGCGGGCGGTGACTGGACATCTGCGGGTTTTGGAAGTTATCAATATCGAGGTGATGCGCCATTCCGTCTGATTTGGACACAAACGAAGGCAGCGGTGGTGCAGCAGGATCGGGTGTGTCGAGAATCGTCGTGCGAGAAGTCGAAGCCGTCGCCGTCATGGGGGAGGCCACCGTAGTAGCAGCAGATCTGGGCACCGGCACGCTCCTGTCCTTCGACTCCTCCCGCTTCTTCATCCACGCCTGGTACTTCTTCAGCGCGCGTTTATACGCCTTCGCCTCGATATGGCGGTCGAGCGTCATGCGGTGCAGCGCGTGGCTGACGCCAGTGACCAGCGCACGGAGCGTCGGATGCGGGTCCTTCTCGAGGATGCGCACGAGCTCCCGCGTCATGCTTCCCCCGTCCGCGTCCTCCCAGCTGAGCTGGTAGTCCTTGCACGACGCGAGCGAGATCACCGACGCCGTTTCCGCGTCGTCGTCCGTCCGCCGGTGCGTCGAGCGGCAGTCGCCTTGGCAGACCCACACGGGCGACGGGCTCTCGCAGGCCCGGTTCGGCGAGGCCGTGCGGCCTTCTTCCGCTAGCCACGAGACGGGCCGGGTGGGCACATCGACACGCAGCGCAGGGCGCACAGTACTGGGGCCCGGATGATCATTTGCCTCCCTCCGTTTCTCCCGCACAGCCACTGAGACCGCCTGTGACCGCGAGACAGTCGCCCGGCGCTGTCTAGAAGACTGGGAATCCGCCGGAGCGGTGTTTTCGCTGCCTGACGAGCGCTTCTTTGCTTTTCCCCTCGGAGGGTCCGGCGAAGTGCCTGGCCGGATGGGAAGCAAGGGCAGCGACAGGCGGCCCTTTGGGCGACGTCTAGTCTTGCGTCCGTCATCGGCATCCGTCCCTGCTCTAGCACCCGTCGTCCAGCGGGGCCCCTCATCCGCTTCTGCATCCTTCTGTGTCCCATCATCTTCCTCTACCGCGACATCCAGCACATCCACCGCGGTCCGCCATGCCCGGACCTGCTTTGAGCCCGGGCCCGTGCGAGCCGCCTCGTAGATCCGGCGGGTGGTGACCAGCGGTGTTCCGACTACCGGCGTCGCCATCGGTGATGATGCCGTTTTTGGCGGGGATGTGGGTGAGCGGGATTCAGTGGGGCGGTGCGCGTCTGACCCCACTGGAGCCGGAATATGGCTCGAGGCCCTCCGGAGAAGCTGCCGAGCACGGCCCGTCAGGGACTTTTCGCCGTCGCTCTGCTCCCGTGTGGCTTTGTCCGGTGAGTTGCCAGGAAGGAAGGGCAGCGCGTGTTTGCGAACTGGATAGGCGTATATGAAGATGTAGTGAGTCTAATTAGCAAAAGGCAAAAGCACGCACCGATAGCATTCCATCGTTCGTCGCTCCTTCTACGTCCCTTGTTCATCCAAGGCACGTACACACGGTTGCACCGGAAGTGCTCCAGATCTGCATCGCAATCTCGGCCTGAGACCCAGCGTTCGGCTAAACATGAGGAAAACGCACCCAACAGACTCGCACTATGGCACGAATCGAAGACTGCAACAAGGGAAGCACCGACGGGCAGGGCCGCGACGAGGTGCCGCCGCAGTTCGTTGTCGAGGATCAGGTTTTCTTCGCCGTCGACTGGGACAAGACCTTGTGTACAGAGTTCACTCTATGCACAAATCATGCAGAAAAACACAGCTGCAACGCACATTCGTCCATCCCATCCTCCTCGCTGTTCGACCGATTCTCCACCTGCGTCGTATGCCCGCAATCTGCGCGCCGCGTCAGAAGAAGCAACCCCAGCACGGGATGCAGAAGAACAGCGACGACGCACAGTGGAAGAAGAACCGGTCGCCCCGGCGCGCCCCGCGCACCAGGTCGTCAATCGCGCGCAGGATATTCGCGCGCGTCGGGGGCAGCGCGTGCCGTCCGTCTCCGTCTCCGTCTCCGTGCCGCGCACCGCCGTCCTCCGGAGCGCCGTCGAGCATGACGGCCACATCGCGCTCGGCGTACCCGTACGTGCGCACCAGCAGCGCGCGCATCGCGCGCACGTCCGCGTGGGGGCCCCGGAGCTGCGCGTAGCCCGCGACGGCGCCGGACGCGTACGCGATGCCGATCAGCAGCGCTTTCTTCTTCGGCTGCGGTTCGGGAGGCGGGGGTGCGGGTGCGTCGGTGGGTGTCCGCGCCGGCGTAGACGGTGGGGCGTGGGGGTGGGGACTGGCGGAGGGAGGTTGCGGAGTGGGAGTGGGAGTGGGAGTGGGATTGAGACTGGGAAGGGGATGGGGATGGAGGGTGGGAGGCGGAGCGGGTGTGCGCCGGGAGTAGGAGACGGTGTAGCGCAGGATCTTCATCGCGCCTTCCTTCGATCACCGGCGATTTGCACTCAATGGGGAGGAATGGGTGAGCAAAGGAAGAGGTTCGAGACAGAAGAGGGCAGGAGCCGACAGGACCCCTCGTCGAGGACGGAACTCGCACTATATATGACACGTATCTGACGCCCGCTAATCCGACGTGTCAATCAGGTACCGCCGCAGAAATTGCAGATCGTTTCCATCTCTGTGCTGTGCAGGTCTACCATCTCTGAGCTGTGACGGACGCCATCTCTGTTTCAAACAGGATGGGTCGCAACGAGTGGGGTTTTGTTCTTTCGGACCAAGAATTCAGTCGGTAGGCAGAGTGGGCAAGACACCGCTGGCGGGAGAAGATCATCGCAAAGATTGATCGTGGCTGTGCACTACTCACGTGGCCTTACCTCACTCTTGCTCTCTGCGCGAGCCGAGCTCAATCGGTGTGATGGGCTCGTCTCACCCGTCTCTATCATGCTGATGCGAGGTTCTATCCAGGTCAAGTGGAGCAGCGACGGTGTTCTCGGGCGGCCATGGTGGTTTCAAAGATGCTGATAAGAATCTGGCGCGGCTCGCTTGGGTTTCCCTCTCCGCTCCGCGAGCGTGTTATGTAAGTGCAGTGCAATCTATCTCACAAGCCACTTCTCTCTCTTCAAACCCAAACCCATTCGTTCGCTTTCGCTCGACCTCGACTCTTGTCGGTCCTTCGTTCATTCTGGCCCCGTCGCTGGTCGACACTGCCAACATTCCCGTGACTTGATTCCGCAAGATTCCAGACGTCGGATTGGCTGTTTCGGGCACTGTCCGAGCCTTGTTCGGCCTCCCTCCGAGGTAAGCACACGTTCTTGACGCAGATTCCTCAGCGGATCCGACCCTCTGCCTCCTAGGACCCATCCTCCCCCCTCACTCAAGCAAATCCAACATGTCCCCAATCCCTCTCCCCGCCACGACCCCGACCCCGCTCGCGATCCAGCCAGTTGGCGACTCGGACATGGACAGCTTCTCCGTCTTCCTGACCGCATGCACGCTGATGACAGCGTGCATCCTGGTTGTCATGTGGGAGGGCGTCTCGTGGATACGGCGGAGCTACGAAGAAGATCGTCGGCTACTGGACGCCGAGCCGGGCGAGGCGATCTCTGTGTAGGTGTAGGCTTGGTGGGTTACTATGACGGAACGACTGTCGCGAGGTTGTCTTTGTGCGGCACGGGATATTAGGGACGGGCGGAAGTTAGCATCAATGGTTTAATGCTGATAATGGGGACCTCTACTGCGTCGTCGATACGAATCGAGTCTAGGGCATGGTCACTATATTGTTCTGTAAATATCAGTCACTCATAGATGATAGATGAACATTAATCAGTCGAGGTGGTGCTCCCATGCTGGAAAAGAGAATCGAATACAGAGCGAGTGATCATGCATCTGCGGCTCGGGACTTCTGAAGACTCGGGTAATGACTGCTCCGATCAAGTATGAGTGCAACTGTAAGCACCCCGCGTCTTGCAACAGGATCCCCCGATCACATTGATCCAGTCGCGAGAGAATACAAAGTAATACATACTGCTACTACGACGATCCCCGCCTATCATCTACTTACGCCTACAGCTTATCAAGATACGTGTCAAGTGACGGAATCAAGGGCTGCTAGCCAATCAGTTTGGTGCCCCACACAATGGGTAGGAGACGCACGCTCAGTCCTTTCCTCACACGAATGCTCTGAGCCAGCGCCTCGGCTTTGCTCCCCTTCTCCAACGGCGCTGCAAAAAAGACCATCAGTATCTGCCGACCGGTGGTCGCATAGCCAACTCACAGCCCGATATGACCGCCCAATGGTCGAACACACTCTGCGGGAACGCCTGCCCGGCCGTCGCCTGCCTCAACGCGCCATTGAAGCCGAACGACTCGGCGACGGGGAGGTACGCCTTGACCGTGCACATGGGCGTCCCCGGGCGCTGCTCCTCCGCGACGATCTGCGCGCGGCGCAGGCTGAGGCACGCGTAGACGCCGCCGAGCGCGCGGTCGGGGCACTGCACCTCGACGAGGAACATCGGCTCCATCAGCGTCGGCTGCGCGGCGAGGCAGGCCGCGAGCACGACGCGCCGCGCCGTCGTCAGGAGCTGCCCGGAGCCGCGGTGGATCGCGTCCGTGTGCAGCTGGTGGGCGGGCGGGTGGATCCATCAGCCTCATTCAATCTGTTAGGAGGTAAAGACGCGTACCGTGGCATCGGTCAGGTTGAAGCGGATCCCGCGCATGCTCTCCTCGACGCAGACGCCCTCCTTCGCCGCCCACTCCAGCCCCGCGACACACGAGTCGCGCGACTCCGCGAGGTACTGCACCCCTTTCGTCGTATCGACCAACACATTCGGCCCGGTGCCCTCCGGCGCGAAGGCCCAGATCCGGCGCGCGTCGGCGGCGTCCCAGCCGAACAGGTCCGCCATCACGCGCGCCCGGGCTTTGGGGTCGTCCCGCGGGCCGATCTGGCCGGAGTCGATGGCGAGCGCCAGGTCCTCGCCGAGCGGCGCGGCCTTCATGTAGAGCCGATTGTGTTTGTTCGGCGACTTGGCGAGCGCGACGATTGAGGATTCCGTGGTGACGGTCTCACGATACGGGACGATTGGATCTGATTTCTTGAGTGGGACGCCGGCGTGGTCGTCTTCCAGGTCCTGTAGTGCACCGAATCAGTGGGGATCTCGATCGAGGAGAGAACAACTCGCCTTGAGGCAGATCTCGAGATGCAGCTCGCCGGCGGCTGCGACGATGTGCTGGCCCGTCTCCGGTGCGATCCACGTCTGCACACACGGATCGGACTTGGACAAGCGCTTGAGGCCCTCGACGAGCTTCGGCAGATCCGCGGCGTTCTTCACCTCGACGGCGACCTGCACCACCGGCGACACAGAGAAGCGCATCACACGCATATTGTGTGCGGTCTCGGACGTCGTGAGTGTCCCACTCTTGAGCAGGAACTGGTCGATGCCGACGAGGCCGACGATGTTGCCCGCGGGGCAGTCGTCCAGCGGCTCGACGACGCGGCCCATCATGAGCACCGTGCGCTGCACCGACGCGGCGAACAGATCGTCCTTGCCGCCCGGGACGTAGTTCGGACCTTGGACGCGTACCTTGCGCCCCGTGCGCACGGTGCCGGAGAACACACGCCCGAACGCGTAGAACCGGCCCTTGTCCGAGCTCGGGACCATCTTCGACACGTACAGCACCAGCGGCCCGCGCGGGTCACAGTCGCGGATCCCGATAGCCGACTCATCGTCCATGGGGCCCTCGTACAGCGACTCGACGCGGTAGCGCTGGGCGGCCGCGGCCGAGGGGAGGTGCAGCACGATCATGTCGAGCAGCGAGTCTCCCGCGGGGAGGAACGCCTCCATGACCGCCTTGAGCAGCTTCTTCGGCTCCCGCTCAAAGTATTCGCGCGGGAGGCTGATCTCGAGCTTGTCGAGGATAGCGTGCAGCTCGGCGGTCTTGCTGTGGAGCACGACGTCGAAGATCTTGTAGATCGGGTCGAGCACGAACATGTTGAAGCTGCGCTCGAGCGGCCTGCCCTCCGCGTCCGTCCCCGTCGTGGACCACTTCCTCGTCGCCGGGTTGAAGAAGTGGTCGCCCCACAGCCGCGCCATCATCTTCCCGCGGTCGACACCGAACCGGCGCGCATACCGCGCCGCGAACTGCCGCAGCGTGAAGCACCAGCCCTGCAGCCCCGCGCCAAACGCCACGGTGCCGCGGTCGGGGGCCACCTGCGCGTCGCCGAGCGCCGCGTCGTGGTACGTCGCGATGACGACGTTGACGCTCTCGATCGTGCGCGCGAAGGACTGGTAGAGGGCCTCCTTCGAGACCTGCAGCTCGAGCAGCGCGCGGTCGACCTTATTGATGACGACGACGGGCTTGATGCGCTCGCCCAGCGCCTGCCGCAGCACCGTCTCCGTCTGCACGCACACGCCGTCGATCGTATCGACCACGACCAGCGCGCCGTCGGTCACGCGCAGCGCGGCGGTTACTTCCGAGGAAAAGTCCACGTGGCCGGGGCTCTGTTCGATCGGTGAGATGGTTTGAGCATCGGCGATGGCGCCGCACACGCACATCGATGAGGTTGATCAGGAAGCCGTTCCCCTGGCTCGTTGCTGCAATGCCGGCCAGGTCTTCCTCCGGGAGCTGGAAGTACCTGGGAGCTGGCATCAGCTTTATAAATCAAGTCCAAACGTTCTGCAAGACGCACATAGATATAGCAGTCGATTTGATCGTAATCCCCCGGTCCTTTTCATCAGGCCTTGTGTCCATGTACCGCCCTCCTGTCTTGGCGATGATGCCTGCTTTCGAGACGAGCGAGTCGGTAAGCGTCGATTTGCCATGGTCGACTGCGCATTCCGTCCTAATCAGAACATTGCCGAGCAGTCGCAAAGAGGGACCACGCACCATGCGCGATGACGCTCATGTTGCGGATGTTGTGCGGCTTGTCCATGAGCGCCCGGATCTCGTCGACCGTGAATTTTCTGGGGCGATAAAAGCGCTCATAAGCTCCGTTCCTGACGGAAAAAACACCAAGGATGGGACGCACACCATGCTGATTGTCGAAAATTAGAGAATATCGGTTGTTTCTGGAGAGGTCTGAGCTTGTTGTAGCGGGGATTCAAGAGGGGCATACAAGCCGCTTATGAATAGGAGCTTGAGTTGGCATCCCGGAGCCGAGGAGCGTGGTTTCAATGGAGACAGGGGTTGTTGATTCATTGACTATGCAGCTCCCTTTTCCGCACAGATTCAGGCGCCGGCTGAACGCGATCGAATAGACCTCGCTCCGGCAGCACTGACTCTTGGATTGACTCGAGTTAGAGGCCGAGGACGTTTCTGAGGGTGCACCGAATACGAACGGCGAGAACAGATCATGATTCGCTTGACAGTTTATGATTCTGCATGACTCTGACCTTGGCGCGGAACCGCTTGGTCCATGATGACGGAGGGGAGATGACGCTTGTCACAGCCACCCCATCAGTCACTCTCTGTGACCGGTCCGGGCCGGATCACTCCCTGACTGGAGTTTTACCCACGGCTAGGATTCCTTGTCAGTTGCTATCTCGGCTTCTTCGCATGCAAGTGTAGATCGCAAATTCGCCTCTCACGCGCTCCCTGCATGGCTTACTCATTCACCCTGCTCCCAGCTGCAACGCTAGCCGCGGTGTACATCTCACACCTCCTCTGGAGAAAGTTTTCGAGACCTCCCCTGCCGCCCGGACCCCGCGGGATCCCCATCCTCGGAAACATCCACGATGTCCCGGCCGAGTCGCCGTGGCTCGCGCTCGCTGCCTTGGGCGAGCGATACGGTACGCCCCGCACCAATCCACATCCGTTCTCCGCACACTGACCGCCCGCTGCAGCCGGCGGCCTCTTCTCGCTGCAGATCCTCGGCCAGCCAATGATCGTCGTTGACCGCGCAGACACGGCCGCGGACCTGCTCGACACGCACGGCGCGGCCCTCAGCGGCCGACCGACGTTCGCGATGGCCGGCGCGCTCGTGGGGTACGACGGCGCGCTGCCGCTGTGCCAGTACGGCCCGCGCGTGCGCACGGAACGTGTGACACGGATCGACGATATCTTGAATTGTATATAATCTCGTACCTACGCATATTCTACTTTACCAGCCTGTATACTCGTATACCCGATCGGACTGCCATCACATGATGGCAGTCAAACAAAGACAGACTTACTTCTTGCATTCTCCCACATCGGTCCCTTCGACCACACCTCAAAGCGACGTCGACTGTAGTCGACCGGGGCCCAGCAGACTGGGCATAATTGGCTGTGTTTAGATTCGTTTAGTAATTGGGTCTACCACTCGGTGGTAGGCTCCTGGGTTGATTCTCGTGCCCGGGTTGCCTGGGCGCGAAGTCACGCAGTAATAGATAGAATTCCCCTAATCCTATTCTTCTCCCCGTAATCTCGGATTCCGCTGCGATCGTCTAGTGGGAAAACTACCTGACGCGTTACATTGGTGGACGCACAGGGATTCCCTGTTGAAGCTTGTTTGTATTAGCGACTATCACAGTATGTAGACATGACATCATAAGTAGTATTCTTAGATTACTTTGGCTTGCTCCACAATGACCTCATACCTGACCTCATTATTGCGTCATCCATTACTCATCTATGATATCATTACTCCACTATGACATCATGATATCTGCTCCAGACTGGTATATAAACCTAGTACTATACGCTCTATATCCTCAGCTCCTGTGTCTCTACACTCGCTGAGGTATGCATTCTCCCTTACGATCTAATGACCTTACTTATGACTTGTACCATAGACTCTGTCTTATAGGTACAGCTAATGATATAGCTCCTGTGTCTCTACACTCGCTGAGACTCTGTCTTATAGGTGATCGCTACTGGTCGTATCTCCACTGCGCGGTATTGTCTGCGACAGGTTATGGGCCCCGCCTGAACCACTAGCGGCAAATCAAGAAACATCGAACTACTCCCTTTACTAAGGCGAGTATCTTTCACTCGTTCAGCCCTTCTAGAGTGCCGTCTTTGTGCGCTCGTCCCACTTGCTGGATGTCGGTCCTCGCATTTGTGCTCTCACCCTCAAGGGGTTACGCGAGCGGCGTCAGGGAGTCATTCAGTTGGCAGACGCGCCGTTAGCCATTCCGTCCATGATTGCTCGCGCGCGTTTTACGTTACATCTTTTTATTGTACAGCGGACATACCCACCAGGCACTGGTCCTTTGGTCAATCCCACTCCTGAACCTTGCGCGAAGCGCCTAGGTGGTGTGGTAGCTCTCAACAGCTGCTGGAGGTCAATCCCTCCGCCAGGCAAAACAATCCTTCGGGGTTGACTCGCATTCCTCACAAGGGACCCTGCGGGCTGGTGACACTACGAGGATTCATGCAATGACGCTCTGCGTGTATGCATGTCTTTAAAAGGGAGAAGATGGGCGGCCAAACCCGGTGCTTGGGACGGCCTTGGGCACGTGTCCCTTGGCCAGTGACGGACTGCGAGGGCAGTAATCACCGTCGGGTACTGCCGCCGCTGACGTATATAGTTACGTTACTTTGATACAAATATGGGCACTTACTATACTGCTTTATTTCGTTATCATTCCCCGCGCGTATATGGGCATCATGGATGGGATGGGGACGCTTGGTCGTTCTCGTTTCAGAGATTTGGCACTTGGGATTTGTTTCTTGGTCTGCAGAGAATCTGGGGCTGACTTCGTCGCTCTAGTCTTCATCTCTATCACCCTGTCATCACCAGACGACCCTCCCGTTGGGGTTATCCTATTTCCTGTTGTCCGTTGGGCTCAGGGACCTTCTTACACTCCTCTTCAAGACACTGATTGGGAAGACCTATACGAGCTTGGTGAACACGACAACAAAGATCTATTTCACCATCAGGACAATTGGACTCCTGAGCTTCGATCCCTATTCGGTGATCCTCCCTATATCGAATTCCCCTCTCTTCACTACCAAACCGCCGACGTCATCGAGTATCTCCCCACCATGTCGGGAATCGAGAAACTCAACAACTCCATTCTGAGTGTCTTCGACGGCACCAATTGGAATACGTGGTCGGACAACTACATGAGCATCTGCATGCATCAGGGCACTTGGGGAGTGGTTAAACCCACTCATATTACGGTTAACAGCACATCTACCTCGAACCCTGGTTCTATGGAGCGTCCTGGAACGGCTGGCGACAGCCAATATCAATGGGACGTTGCCAATGAAAAGGCACTGGGTCTTGCGCGGGTTTACATCACCCAGAATCTGCGCAAGGGAATCTTTATGGACGGTCAGCGGGAGCGCACTGCGCGCGAGGTTTTTGCGAAGATGGCAACGGATTATGGCCAACCAAATGCCATCGATGCTTTCGTCGAGTACCGCCTCCTGAACACCACCACCTTCCACGGTGGTGATACCATTGAAAAGCAAATCATGGAAATGGAGACTCGTCGTCGCCAGTGTTCGGAAGGAGGAATCGAGATCCCTGACTACCTCTTCGCAACTCTAATGCTCGCTGCTTTGCCCGCTTCCAGCAGAGGTTTTGTCACCTCTTACCTGGCCAATCGTCCTATCGCTTCTCTGAACCCAGTCGATGTCAAGAACAGCGTCATAGGGAATATCAAGATCGAGAACCTCGACACGACGTCGAACTCGAAGATTTCCACCGTTCCGTCCCTTGCCACCCGCTGCACTCATTGCAACAAGTCCGGTCACGTTGCGGCATCCTGCTACAAGAAGTATCCCAACCTCAAGCCGACTGGTCAATCTTCTGACAAAGGCAAGGGGAAGCAGGATGAGGGGAAGAAGAAAAAGAAGAAGGAAAAGAAGAGTGGTGATGGTACTAGCGCTGTAAAAGAAGTTGTAGCCGCTCCCGCGGTTGCAGCTGCCTCCAATGGAATGCACATTTCGTCCTATCTCATGAGTGACTCCCTCAAACACATCGATGATGGAATTTTTGTTGAAGAAATGGGAGACGACTCCAAAGTTCGTTTTCTATGGGACTCGGGTTGTGCGCATCATATGACAAACACCCGATCCGATCTTCACAACATCAGACCTATCGACACCTATGTAGTCGTTGGGTCGGGAGCTCGCTTCAGGAATGAAGCCGTTGGAGATATTGTGTTGCGGGGTCATACTAGTAGTGGCATGGACTACACCTTCACGTTGAAGGATGTCATCTACAACCCGCACATAAGAGGGCGCTATCTTTCTGGGTATGCGCTCGATCAGGCTGGTTACTACACCGTGGTTGGTAACAACAAGGCAATCCTAGTCACCAAGGATTGGCTCAACAAGGGAAAAGCGCATGGGGATGTCTTGATGACCTTTAAAGCAAGCAATCGCTGCTACTGGTACTACCCCGAGGAGCTCGTGGCACCATCTGTGTCTGCATCTCACGAGTCTACCGCGCTCGCTTCCCTGGAAACTACCGATCGTGAATTGTGGCATAAGCGTTTTGGTCATGCGGCTCGGAGGACCCTTACTCACTTGCCGACACAAGTTGAAGGTGTTCCCCCCTTGCGACGCAATAAAGACCAGCGCGGCATGTGCGATGGATGTATGCTTGGAAAACAGCACAAGCATCCGTACCCTGCATCAGAGAAACGTGCTAGCAAACCCCTCGAGCTTATCCACACTGATTTGATGGGCCCCTGGCCTACTCAGTCGTTGGAAGGTTCACGCTACACAATTTCGTTCTACGACGATTTCTCGAGCTTTGGCATGATGGTGTTCATTAAATCAAAGGACCAAGCCTCTACTGCGATTAAAAACTTTGTTGCCCTTACAGAGCGTCAGCTTGGCACAAAAGTACTGGCCTTCCGGTCAGATTGTGGAGGCGAATATATGTCCGATGAACTCACAGCCTGGCTCAATGCACATGGTATTATGCACCCTAAGTCCGCGCCACGCGAACCACAGCAAAATGGGAGGTCTGAACGTTGGAATCGCACAGCCTACGAGAAAGCGGAATGCATGCGCCTCGATGCCGGCCTATCCAAAGGCTTCTGGCAATGTGCTATGGATGCATCTGTCCACGTTCATAATAGACAACCTATGGCACAATTGGGATGGCGAACACCTGCGGAACTGTGGCTTGGAAAGAAGCCAGACGTCTCTTACTTCCGTGTGTTTGGATGCAAGGCGTCTCTCTATGTGGATGTTGAAAAACGCCCGAAAGGGTTGGAGCATGGACGCCCCGACCACATCTTCGTTGGATACGAACGAGAGACAAAAGCTTGGAAAGTGTGGGATCCGAATCAACGCAAGATACGAATCTCTTCAAACGTCGAGTTCGATGAGCGAGTATTCCCTGCCAAGTCCAAGCTAGTCACCGGCAATGTGTCCTCTGGACCGGAGCCGTTCACACCATTCGAGGAAACCTTCCCTGACCTAATCAATAATCCTGCGCCTGCAACACCTTATGCAAGCATACCACCTCCTGCTCTCCCACCGCCACCGGCACCCCTCGCGCAACAAGGTCCTGTCACAGGATCGCGAGAAGTACCCCTAATGCCTGGCCCAATAGACGATCGCCCGATTGCCCATCGCCGCCCTCGTCGGAATAAGCCCCGCATTATGCCAGATGGAACTACGTATCAGAGGCCTAGCAGCATTGAGTCCATGTTGTCAGCTGCCCAAGCTGAGCATGACTTGCCTCAGAACGTGCGGGACGTAGCAAAGAGCCCGGATGCACTCAAGTGGGAGCGCGCAATGCGCGAAGAACTGGACTCTCTCGAGGAAAACTGTACTTGGGATTTGACCAGCCTTCCACGCGGTCGAAAGACTGTCAAATGCAGATGGGTGTTTAGCAGGAAGCGTGACGGTCGTTTCAAAGCACGACTTGTTGCCAAGGGATTCACTCAGGTTCATGGGTTTGACTATGATGAGACCTTCTCGCCAGTATTGCGCTACGAATCTCTGCGCATACTTATGGCTCTGGCTGCTCTCGAAGATTGGGAGATTCATGCCATGGATGTCAAAATGGCATTCCTAAACGGGGATCTGGAGGAAGAAATCTATATGGAACTTCCGGAATTACCCAAAGGTTTCTCGTCATGGCCAAAAGAAAAGGTGGCACGCCTTCGTAAATCACTCTATGGGTTGAAACAGGCGTCTCGTCAGTGGAATATCAAAATCCACAATGCCCTCCTCGAACTTGGTTTTGCTCGGACATACTCCGACGCCGGTGTCTACACATATCGCCAACAAATGGGAGATACGGTCATCATCTTGGTGCTGTATGTTGACGATATGCTCATTATGGGCAACAATCTGCCGGAGATAGCGCGTATCAAATCCTTGCTCGCGAACCGCTTCAAAATGACAGATCTTGGTCCTGCAAAGGATTTCCTTGGTCTGAACATAGTTCGTGATCGCAAAGCGCGTAAAATCTGGATCGATCAGGCTTCCTATATCGAAGGAGTTCTAGAACGATTCCGGATGTCTTCGTGTAAAGAAGCTCGTACTCCCCTGCCTTCCGGCATCGTGCTCGAGAAGCATGATGGAGAAGTTGATGAAGACCGTCGTACCCGATACCAGCAACTGATTGGCAGCCTTCTATACGCCATGCTTGGTACTCGCCCCGACATTGCCTATGCAGTCATCCGTCTATCAAAGTTCAACAGCAACCCGTCAGAACATCATTGGAACATGGCAAAATACATACTCCGGTACCTTCAGGGCACCAAAAACTACCAACTTTGCTATGATGGTTCCACTGGCGCAGGCCTTATCGGTTATTCCGATGCTGATTGGGCGGAGAACAAAGACGACAGGCATTCAACCACGGGATATTCCTTCTTCATCGCCGGTTGTGCAGTGACCTGGGTTTCTAGACGCCAACCCACGGTCGCTTTGTCCTCAACAGAGGCCGAATACATGGCTCTGAGCGATGCTACGCGCCAGATTGCCTGGATCCGCACTTTGTTGACTGAGCTCGGATATGACTTGCCATCCACGCCTCTTTGTGTTGATAACCAAGGCGCTATTTTCATGGCAGTAAATCCAGTTCATGATAGGAGGACGAAGCACATCGACATCCGCTATCACTTCGTACGAGAATCCGTCGAAGCTGGCAATGTCCAACTTTACCATGTGCCGACTGATGCGATGATCTCAGACACGCTCACAAAGTCTTTGGCATGGGTGAAGTTCCAGCAACATCGGCTGTCTTTGGGTCTTCGTGATCCGACTGTTTAGTCGAGTGGGAGTGTTGAAGCTTGTTTGTATTAGCGACTATCACAGTATGTAGACATGACATCATAAGTAGTATTCTTAGATTACTTTGGCTTGCTCCACAATGACCTCATACCTGACCTCATTATTGCGTCATCCATTACTCATCTATGATATCATTACTCCACTATGACATCATGATATCTGCTCCAGACTGGTATATAAACCTAGTACTATACGCTCTATATCCTCAGCTCCTGTGTCTCTACACTCGCTGAGGTATGCATTCTCCCTTACGATCTAATGACCTTACTTATGACTTGTACCATAGACTCTGTCTTATAGGTACAGCTAATGATATAGCTCCTGTGTCTCTACACTCGCTGAGACTCTGTCTTATAGGTGATCGCTACTGGTCGTATCTCCACTGCGCGGTATTGTCTGCGACATTCCCCACTAACCTGGCCGAATCCATAGACGACTTCGTGTCGCTAGAGGTCGCTCACGATCTCACCGTAGGAGAGGAGAGCTTCTTCTCCTCCCTGGAACACTCCTTGTCGCCCCCGAAAGCTGAGAGAAACCGCGTGAAGGAAGCCGGATCGCTCTCAGGCGCCCAGGAAGCTCACACGCAACGCATACGAGCCGCGTGCTCCCAACCACATTCGGACAGGCTGGGCCGTTGGCCTCCTGCGCCACAACTCGCACCGTCTCCACCCATTTTCCCAGCATCGGATATCGTCGAGCCACGAGAGCTCAGCGACTCCACCCTCGAGTCGGGCCCGGGACAACTACCCGAGTCTTCCCCTTTACTTTCAGAGCTATTAGCCCGACGCGAGACCGCTTACTCGCCTCTCACTCGCTCGCCCTTGATTCTACCAGCAGG